CTCTCCCTGACTCTTTCTGTCTTCTACTCCTCTCCTCCCCCTCCTCCCCCTCAGAATCACTTCCTCAGAGGTGGAAACCATTCATTTGGGGGTGTCAGGAGGGACAGGCTCCTGTGCTCCTGGCCCAGCAGGCACCTCCTGACATCGGCAGGGCTAGTGGGCTGCTCCAAGGTATCTGCTTTGAGCGGCTCCTCTTGCCTGCCCTTCACACCTGTCAGATCCATCTAACCCACAGGGACTTTGGCCGCCACTTCGGATGTGTCCAGCAGCAGGTGGGTTTCACCCCACTGGGGCTAGGAGAGGGACACCTTCCCACACAGAAGGTCCTCTCACTTGGCAGACCTTGTTCCTAGACCCTTACTCACCAACTATCCCTTACCAGCCTAGAAGTTCCACTGTCAGTGATTTAGGGCTTAAATAAAGAAGAATCCCTGTTAACTGCCTCCCAACATTAACATTAAACGTATCAGTCATGAACACTTTAGTATGAATGAGCCAACAGCTCCTCCCTCTAGCCCTCAGCTAGGTGGATGCTGCCTAAGGAGACTTCATTAGTCCATTTCTGCAGGAGGAGAGGTGTGGAAAGAGAAGAAGAGTACAGGACACCCACAAAGGTGAGTGGAGCAGGAAGGAGGGGGTTTGAGGGAAAGGACCAGAGGAAAGGAAGAGGGACAAACCTTAAGGAGAAGGCCTCTCATTCGTCCATTCCTTCAGTCAACAAAGCAGTCATAGGAGACTCCCCAAGTCTTGTATCACCCCATTTTCCAGATGGGGGACTGAGGCCTGGAGAGAAGAGATTCACTCTAGATCACATTGAACACATAGGTCTCCTAACTCCAAATACGGGCACCCTGTCCTGCCACGCTGCTGTACCCTGCCCTGTCATTCTGTTGTCCTCCCAAACCCCAAAGATGCAGGCCTGTCCTCCTGGGATTCCTGAGGAGGGTAGGAGGCCCTCTCAGAGCCCTCATTTATGATTCCAGCAGCTTCCTTCCTCCCATCACTCCCTCCAGCCCCAGTCCCAGCCCCACGAGGAAGGAATGAGCTGAGGGAGAAGGGCAGCTCCATGGAGCATAAATAACTTGGCCTGGCAGCTGCAGGCTCTCTGGGACCTCCAGCGCCCCTGCTTGGCCCAACGGGTGCCCCCAGCTCTGGGATTGAGGGGCAGCAGGGCCAGCCCTCCAGATCAAAGGCAAAGAAAGCAGCATTGTTCCCCAACCTAGAAGCGTGGGGAAGGCCTTCTGGGCAGAGACTTTGAAGGCCACTGACGTTTACGTAGCCCCTTCTCTTTCATGACATCCAGGGCTGCTGCTCCAGGCTCTGGGTCCCTGGGGGCTGCCACCTCGGGCTCTGAGCAACGCTCTGCCCCCTTGGGCTGCTTCCTCACCTATGGAATGGGCACAGTATGGGCCCAGATCAGGTGGAGTGCCTGAGCTCACACACTGGTGTGTGAACAGGGCTGATAGGGGCACCCCCAGCTGGGGAGGCTGTCCCATGGGACACAGGCAGGGGAAAGAGGCACTGAGTGCCGGCCCAGTGGGAGGTGACAGGAAGGAGGCTGTGACCCAGGTTTGTTTGCTATGGGGAGAACAGCATTTCCTGTTTGGACTAGGCCAGGGTGGTTGTGTCAGTGAGTCCACACCAGAAGGCCTGCTGGGGGAGGGGTGTGTGTGTGTGTGTGTGTGTGTGCGTGTGCATGCGCGCACACACATCTGAGTCCGTGCCCCTGTGTGGTCCATGTGTTCTCTCTCACCTCATCAGGTCCCAGACAGGAGTCTAAATCTGAACTGGGTTCTCATTTTTCCCCTAGGACGTCCCCCTGCGGGACTCAGCCAGAGGGTGGCAGTGTGCCTAGTGGGTAACCATCACTCACCAGCTGTGGACCTGGCGAGCTCCACACCTGAGGATACTGAGATGCCCTCTGCTGGGTGGCAGAGAGGAGGGCAGGAGACAATGCAAGCAAGATGCTTAGCACAGCGGCTGGCGCAGTCCGAGCTCAGGAACGAAAGCTGCTGTCCTTGCTGGCGGTTGTGGTCTGGTCTTGGCAGCAGAGAGGACCAGCCCCCAGCGAGGAGGCCCTGCCCACAGGGGCAGGCCTGAGACCTCAAGCCAGGGGCTCCTCTCCTCCCTGTCTCAGCAAATACTGAAACCTCAAATGACCAAGGCCCAGGTCCCTGCGGCATTTCCTGCCCTTCCTGCTCAGGGAGGAAAGAGAACCAGAAAACAGACTGACATCCACCAGGAAAGAGCACCCTTAAAAGAGGACTTTGGGCTGTGCCCACAGGGAGACTCGAAGCCTTCATACTTTCCCAGACACATGGGCTCTTGAGCCAGAGGGCTCTTAAAAAGGTCCTATGATTTATTTTTTTCAGGGAAGAAAATGAGGCTCAGAGAGGGGAGGTATCTTGTCCCAGGTCACACAGGAATTGACATCTAGGCCTATGGGGTGTTAAGCCACCAGGCTACACCATCACAGGATGTGAGTGTAGTCATAAATAAATACCCTGAACAAAGGGATCCCAGACTCAGCAAGGCCAGGGTGCCTCTTTATTCAGGGTCCCAATCACCTCACAGGCCCTCCAAGACCCTCCCCAGGACAGAAGCCACTGCTCTGCTGTTTTCCTTCCTAAAGAGCTGCATGGCCCTCAAAGTGCCCTTTGGAAAGATGGGTTTTTGTTTGTTTTTTATCTTCACCAGAGGATGTTTTTCCATTTATCTTCAGATAGAGCAGGAGGGAGAGAGGGAGGAAGAAAGAGAGAGAGAAACATCGATGCGAGAGAGACACATCTATTGGTTGCCTCTTGCATGATCCCAAACAGGGCCAGGGATGAACTGCAACTGAGGTACATGCCCCTGGCCAGAATCGAACCCAGGACTCTTTGGTCCATGGGCCGACACTCTAACTGCTGAGCCAAACCAGCCAGGGCTGGAAAGATGGTTTTTGATCCCAGTCACTTGACCAGGCTACTGATGGGCCTGGGAGCCTGTCAGGAGACGGTTCCTTGAGAATGACAAGTCATCCAGGGGATTAAGTCACTGGTCTAGTTGTATCAAAAACAAGGGCTGCCTTGGGCAGTTTTGCTCAGCGGTGAGAGCATCGGCCTGCAGACCAAAGAATCTCGGGTTCAATTCCAGTCAAGGGCACATACCTGGGTTGCCATTGGATTCCTGGCCCTGGTCAGGGTTGTGTGGGAGGCAACCAATCAATGTGTCTCTCTCACATTGATATTTGTCTCTCCCTCCCTCCGTCCCTCTCTATCTGAAAATTAATGAAAAAATATCCTCCTGTGAAGATTAAAAAAAACAAAGACTAACCAGAGAAGCACAAAGTTGCATTTCTTGGGGTTTAGATAGGTGGCACATAGTAGGTGCCCAAAAATCGCACATGGAAAAGAGGGAGGAAGTTTCCTAAGGGGGCAAAGTTGGCACCATGATGATGTCATTGGGGCAAGTGAGCTGCCCTTGGGGGACCCTGTGAAGCAGGGGAAAGTGGGTCTCAAGGCATTACCATGATAGCTCATCCCTGCCCACACACCCATAAGGAATGTGCAACTGTCCTTCTTACAAAGACAAACTGAGGCTCAGAGAAGGGCAGGACTTACCCAAGCTAACTTAGCAGAGGCAGCAGATGTAGGATCTGAACCCAGCTCTCACTACCTACCCAACCTCTTAGTGGCACAGGGGTCAGCTCCCTCTATATCAGCACACGCCCCCTCATCCGGACTCAGGCCCAGGACCTGGTGCTGCCAGCCCTGATGGGTCCAGGAGAGGCAGTCCTCAAAAATCAGATCCTTCCCATTGGCGTGTCTGTAGCAGAGATCTTGGATCTGGACAAATCCATGGCAGGATTCTGAGGGACAGGCCCCCAGTGCACCACCAAGCTGGACAGGGAGCTCCCCAAACCAGGACTGCCTGTGGCACATCAGTCCAGGCAGAAGGGGGTTAGAGACTGTTCTGGAGTTCTGGAGGATTCTAGGCCCCTCTGATGAGAGGTCTGGTCTCTCCCCATGAACACACACCCCCATCACAAACACACATTTGTATACACCTTGGTGGTGTTCATAGCCCTCTTCCCAGAGGCTGGCTCATCTATGTGCCACACATGAAGAAATTCCATTCTAATCCAATCCTTACCTTGTTACAAATGGGAAAACCCATCCCCAGACCAATGCCATCTATACTCTTTCCTAATTGTGCTTATAAAAGCTGACCCCTTTTGAAGTCAGGAGATCTCTGTTCAAAACCTAGCTCTTCCGACCACTGATGGAGGGCTTGGGCAAATGATGTCTCCCCTCTGTGCCTCAGTTTCTCCATCTGTAATATGGTGATGAGTGGACACCGACCTTATGGGTTGACTCGGATCTTCTCCTCCCGGGGAGACTGGGAGTGTCTGCGTCTCAGTTTTCTTCTCTGTAAAAGGGGGATAACTGAGCCCACCTCTCCTAAAGAGGTCTGAAAATTAAACCGGAATGGGACGTGAAGCGGAGTGAGGCACTCACTGCTCCGGCAGCCTTCGCTGCGTGGGTGGACGGGATCCCGCGTCCTTCGTGCCTCAGGAACTGGATCCCTACAAAAAGAGGGGACGAGGCTCCGCATCCTTGGTTCAGGCTTGGCGGCCTCGGGTCCTGGATGCGCCTGGGACGGCTCTGAGACTCAGTCTCCAGTCTGCAACACGTGGGAGGGCATCTCCGGCGGGCACCCCGCCCCCAAAAGGACCACGCGCGCAGAGCTCCGGGACCAGGTGGGCACCTGGCGGGCCTCCTGGCGGGGGCGCCGGCCCCCCGGGCTCCTTCCGGGTTGGCAGCGGGCGCAGGGGGCGGGGGCGTGCGAGGGGCCGGCCCGGCCGGGCCGCGCGCCCCCGCTCCGCCTCCCTCCCGCCCTCCCGCCGCGGCGCTGGAAACCGGGATCCGCGCGGCCAGGGCGGCCGGCGGCGCGGGCGGGTGCGGACGGCAGGCTGGGGGCGGTGGAGCGGGCCGCGCGCGGAGAGCGCCGGGCGCAGCATGGGCGGCCTGCGGGCCTGGGCGCTGCTCTGCCTGGGGCTCCTGCTCCCGGGAGGGAGCGCTGCATGGAGCGTCGGGGGAGCCCCGTTCTCGGGACGCAGGTAAGGGCTGCCCCCCCCACCTCTGTGCCCTGCCAGCCGGGGATGGGAAGCCGGACTCCAGGCACCCCCTCTCACCCCAACCCCCAAACCTTCGTGCAAGCCTAGGGTGGGAAAGGGACCTGGCCCCCACAGCAGTGCCAGCCCACCCAGTGGGTGGGGAGGTGGTAGGGACCCTGGGCCGCTCCATTATCTGGCAGAGGCGCCCAGAGTCCCCTACTCCATGTATCTGGAACCACCAGCCCCCACAGCCTCCTCCACCCACCTACCCCCATTTCAATCCCAGAGTTCCAGATGAGGGGGGAAGGGGAACAGGGGGGAGAACTCCCCCAGGACCCCCGTCTCCCTAATCGAAGGGCCCCTCACCCCGCCCCCCCAATCCTGCACATAGGAAAGCCCGGAACATCCCCTTGCTGCCACTTCGGGGACTCTCCTCCCTTTTCCTTGCTCCTGGCTTTTTTTAGTATCAGCTATTTATTTCACTGGGAGGATGAAGACTGAGGTGGAGTTTCAATGTCCCTGGGTCAGTGTCTGCCCCCAGGGACCTGGCATTTTGGACAGAGATAGGAGGGAGTATTCTGTCTTCCTGCTGCTCTCTGGGGAGCTGGAAACATTCTCTCTGCTGGTGTCTGTGGAGCGTTTTCCAGTACAAGCAGTGGGGCCCTTTGTATGCAGTGTTCTCATTAATCCTCCAAGGACTGAATGAGGTTTGGGAGCACTTGTTCCCATTTAGCAGATGAGTAAACTGAGGCTCCAGAAAATTAACATAATCTTCTAGGCTTATGGGCCATTAATAGAAGAAATGGGATTCAAATCTGTGTCTTTCTGGCCTTGATGACACTGTTTGAACCTGCCCAGCTGCTATCCTGGCTGAAGTGCCTAACCTTGCTGGGGTCCCCTTTTAAGGGCCAGTGGGGCAGACAATACATAGTAGCCAGGCCTCTCCAGGACTTTTCATCTCAGTCAAGTGCTTGCCCAGCCCCCTATGGCCTCACTTTTAAAATTCTTTTCAGAAATTCTTGCCTAGTGTCAGGGAAGCTTCCACTGGGCTAGCAAGAGCAGGTGACATGGGCAGGGCTAGAGGGGAAAGGTGGCTCATGCATCAGAGGCCAGAAGAACAGTTGTCAGAGATAGGGATGGGCAGGTGGCAGATGTCACAACCACCATCTACTGCAGGCTGACCACTGCAGGCCTGGGTATTTCACCTGCTTCCAGAATCTTCTTGACTGCCTAAGGAGGCATGCATTTTTAAGGTCCCTGTTTCGTAGAGAAGGAAACTGAGGCTCAGAGAGGGGATATGACTTGCCCAGGACATGAATGTAAACCCCCGGGATCCCAGACGGTAAGATGACTGAGACTGAACTAGGAATCCCATTGTCAGGATCAGGATGATGGTTGTGAGAACTTAAGGTCCAGACTGCCCTCCAGCCAGCCAGTCCAGGACAGGGCCTCCCAACATGGGTTCCTCACCCCCCAGAGCTTCCTGGATGGGAGCAGGATGGTGGCTGTGGGTAGGTATCTGGTGGTCACTGGGACTGTCACCCAATCCGTTCACAGAAGGCTCACAGTGGCCTGGGCATCACAAAAGCCCCAGGGGCACTGCTGTTGCTCCCAGGATACAGACATAGGCCTAAAAAGGAATAGAGGACCTCAGTCCAGGCCGGCCAGTTACCAAATCCAGTGTCCTTTTCGCCCCAGGGAGGTCGTCAGCTTGCAGGTTCGGTAAAGGTTCGCAGGGCATGGTCAGGAGGCAGAGCTCTGGCCCTGGTTTTTTCACCCACTCAGTGTGTGACCTCAGGCAGGTCACTCTACAGCCCTGGGTCCCACTTTCCTTCTCAGTTTCCTCACTGTTTCCCTTTCCTCCCTTTGTCCCCTGCTTACAGGCCTGCTGTCAGGATGGACAAAGGACCAGCTTGGGCCCTGACAGATAGTGGTTCCTGCTATCACCAACATTAGGTGGGGGAAGGGACCCCTAGCTGGAGTAATCTGTAGTCCTCGGCTGCCAGGACTTCCCCTTGTGGCCCCATCCCAGCATCGTTGGAGACAGCATGGGGATGTCTCGCCCCATCAGCCCTCCCTCCATCCCCAGCCCAGAGCCCCAGGCGCCCCTTGGCAGCCAAGGGACAAGAGGGAGAAAAGAGGCTTTGTGCCTGGGGAGGGGGAGGCCTGGGAAGGCATCCAAGGGACCGCCCCCAGCCCCAAGAATGTGGTGAGACTTTGAGACCCCTCCCCCCAGAACCAGGGTGCCCTGGGGCTGGCCATTCAGAGATGCCTTGGCTCACCCCTACCCCGGTCTGTCCCCCAATCCCTGCTGGGGCTGCTTCCTGCCCCTCTGAGGTCCCTTCCAGCCTGAACCTTCGTCTAGACTTAAAGCTATCACCAGTGTCCTGGCCCAGGCCTCTTCCCCTGCAGTCCTGGCTTCCTGTGGGCAAATCCTAGGATCAAGGAGAGTGGAGAATTCTCTTCCCAGCCTCTCTCCAGAGAGCTCAGATCCCAGCTCCACACCCACATGGGTGACCTGGGTAGGTGACTTCTCTCAGAGCCTGTTTCCCCCTCTGTGAAGTCTGACCATCTCTACCCTGTAGTCAAGGGGAGGACTTCGTGTAGAAGATACTGGGCTGGTGTCCCCAAGCCCCAGGGAAGGCCCTGGACCACAGCTGTGGGGCCCATATCATACTCCAGAAACAAGAATTACCAATCGCTATTAGCATCATGCGAAGCATTTTGCGCGAAACCTCTCCTACCATCGGAGAATCTACTGTCCCCATTTGCAGATGGATAAAGTGAGTCCCAGAGAGGTTCAGGGCCTTGTTCAAGGTCTCCATGTTAGGAAACAGCAGAGCTAGGACTAGAACTTCGCCTCCAGTGTGGGGTTCTGGCTCTAGTCAGCCCACCCCCACCCGGTATGTCTCCTTTCTTTCCTCTCCTTTTCATAACCACCCTTGGCCCCCAGCCCGCTTGGCTGCCTCCTGCAATTAGCGCCTATCACTGTTCCGGATCACAGCCCTGGGCTCCTCAGAGACAAAGTCCCCTGGGCCTCTGGTGGCAGGGGGTGGAGGGCAGGTTGGGGGGGGGGGCAGTAAGTGGGGGCAGCTGGTGCCAGGCTGAGCTGGTCTGGCCTGTTTTCTCTCCCCCGTGGCCTCTGGGGACCCAGAAGGTGCTGAGTGGGCAGGAGTGGCAGGCCCAGGAGGGAAGGGCCGCCTCACCCAGCCCCTGGCCTTGCCCCCTCCCACAGGAGGTGGCCCAGCCTCACCAGGTTCTTGGGCAGCTTATCACCTACCACACCCAGGAAAGGAAGCCCCCAGGGGCAGCAGGGTTGAGGCAAAGTTTTCAGGGACTGTAAACATCTCTAGGAACCTGGGTCCTGGCTCCTCTGCCCAGGGCCACCACTCTCAGTCATTCAGCAAACTCTCTGAGCACCCTCAAGCTGAACCCCATCCTGGATACATGTCCTCCCCAAACACCCAGGGCTTCTGTGACCCCTGGAGATGCCCAGCTCTGCTGGGGTCCTCGGGACTGAGACCCCAGTGATGAGCAGGAGTTTGCCAGAGCGGTGGGAAGGCTTTCCAGGCAGAGAGAATCTAGTACAAAGACGGGAGGCTCAGGAGGTGCAGCACATGGAGGGCGGGAGGAAGGGCAGAGGCAGCAGGGGTGTGCAGGAGAGGGGAGCAGCCCGGGGGACAGAGCAGTCAGGGCTCACAGGGCGACAGGGAGCCTGGTGGGCTGCGGACGCCAAGGGGGGCGGGGCGCGCAGTGGCAACTTTAGGTCTGTGCTTTACAAAGAGATTCTGTCACCTCTGGAAAGTGGACCGAGGGCCAGGAGGGCAGCGGGGCCAGGCTGGGACCCTCTGGGGGAGCTCGGGCTCATCCTGGAAGCAGCGGGGCTGGGGTCTTCAAGGCCGAGGGTGGGGGGTGAGGCAGGATTATTGGGAGAGGGGATGAAGGGCTGACTTGAACCCCACCTTGCCTGATTGTTCCTTCCTATCAAAAATGTTTAGCTAGCTGGCCACCACCTCCATGTCTCCTAAGCAGATGATTCCAGCAAACTCCAACCCGTGGGAAATAAACCAGGGAGCCATGGAGCAACCCACAGGGGAACTTTTAATTAAGGACAAAGAAGAAAACAAAATTGTTTTCTCTAGCTCCCCAAAGAAGGGCAGCTCAGGCAGTTGTGGGCAGCTTCGGGCCCATCTCCCCGGGCACAGTGCAGGTGCACGTGAGGGTGCACAGCCCTGTATCTGCAAGTGTGGATCCTGTGCAAAGAGGACAGTAATTTCTGTAGGATTTGCTTTGGTCTGACTGTGTGCTCGAGTGTGTGTGTGTGTGTGTGTATGTGTCCTTATATGGGTCTGTGCATATGGGCACGTGTTGTATGCACGTGGAAGTTGTATGCACATGTGCATCTGTGTGCATGTGTGTCTGTGCCTTGTGCTCACTGTGTGTGCATACCGATGTGTATGCCTGCATTTGCATGTGTTTTGTGTGTATGTCTGTCCACTGGCATGTGGTCTTCATTCTGGGCCAGGGCCCCCTCCTGTGCCTGGAGCTTCTGTCTTCTGCCCAGATTGCGCCCTCTGTCCCTTCTTCCTTCACTCACAAAGCCCCTGGGCCAGCCTGGGCGAATTCACAGGCTGCAGGGAGCCTCTGAGCCTCCCTGAACTTGTACCCCACATTTTGTGCATTTTTCTGGGGAGGAGCCCACTCATATCACTTTCCCAAAGAGGCTTATGTTCCCCTCAAACAAAACCCCAACAGGTTTAAATATGTTTTTATTGATTTTTTTAGGGAGAGAGAGATAGAAACATCAATGTGAGAGAGAAACATCTATCGGCTGCCTCCTGCATACTCCCCACTGGGGATCAAGCCCGCAACCTGGACATGGGCCCTGATTGGGAATCGAACTGGGACCTCTCAGTCCAGAGGACGACACTCAGTCCACTGTGCCACACCAGCCATGCAAAACCCCAACAGTTTTAAAACCACAGCTCTAGGGACCCAAAGGTTCTAAAGGGTTGGGGGCCCTTTGAAAATGTATCTTTTTAAACTTATAAAATCTCCACCTGCTCATTAGGAAAAACATTTTCAGCATAAGGTTAAGAACACAAGATCTGAGTTCCCACCATGACTGGGTCACTCATCATGGGTGCCTAGGGTACGGCCCAGGCCCCGGAGCCTCAGTCTTCCCATCTGTAAAGTGGCGCTTACAAACGGGCATGTGGAAGGCCCTGGGCCCAGCTCTTGGCATACAGCGAGCATAACCAGACGCTGAGTGAGCACAAGAGACGGAACCCAGAGAAAGCCCCGCCACACCCCCACAGGTGGCAATTTGATGTGAGCGTGTGATTTTTCCTAACTTGACGCACACAAAGCTCTATATTTGCGCACGTGTATAGAGTCTTTTGGCCTTCTCTTCCTTTCTTGGTGTAACAGAAATGCCTCTTTCTCTGTTGAGCTGCACAGGCTTTTTCCCCGTAACGAGGTATAGTGTCTACATGTGGAGACCTGGGGCTCTTCCACAGCACCCGCGTCTGGTGGTCCCGTGTAGGCTGTTCCCAGTTGTGCACCATTCCCGGTGGCACTGCAGCAAGCCCCTGTCACCCCTTCCGTGGAGTGGCTGGCCCAGGGCTCTCTTGAGCTCTGTCACGTCAGAGCCGTCCCTTCTCCCTGCTTTCCCACCTCGCGCTTTGGCTGAGCTGTGCCCTCCCCCTGGCCGGTTCCAGCATGGCACAGAGCAGCGAAGGGCTTCCCCAGGGTCCCACATCAACTCAGCAGACTGCTGCTGGCCAAGGACTTTCTCCTTCAGGTGGGCCTGGGTGGGGGCGGGGCAGCAGCTGGGGGCTGGATTTCAGTGGTAGCAGGCACCGCTGTGATGGCTGGGACATTCCAGGTGCTCAGTGGCCCTCAGCCCTGCATGGGGTCACAGACCCTGTGTTTTTGCCAGGGCTGGGAAAGGAGGGACCATTTCAGATGACCCTTCTCAGCCTGAGCTCCCCCACCCCACCAGACTTTCCTTTGTGGCCCAGAGCGGGGGTCAGCAGGTTCCCAGGCTAGGGCCTTCACAGAGCCGCAGACCGTGGCTCAGGAGATGGAGAGGAGACAAAAGCTGAGGCCTTTGAGGCGGAATTAGGGGCCAAGCTGGGCCATCGAGATTCTTCCTGGGTTTAAATCTGGCTCCATCGTGCACCAGCTCTGGGACGTGAGCAGTTATTTTTCTCCTCGCTGAGCCTCAATTTACCCCCTCTGTAAAATGAAGGGTGTCTTCCTGGATCACTGTGGGAAGATGGGGGGAATATCTTCGTATACAGCAGGTGCTCAATATATGCAGTGCAGTATGGTCATTAGTCAGCATTTGGAGAAGTCACTCCACGCTTGGGACATTGTACATCCCGGCGGTCACACAGAGGAGACACAGGATAAGTGTCTCCTCTCACATGCCAGCGGGGAGAGGGGGCAGACATGAATCACCAGCTTCATTCAGCGTGACAAATCTACAAAGTACGCAGGATCCAGGGCAGGGAACCATCATTTCTGCTCAGATGGAGGTGGAGGTGGGAAAGGACAAGGGGAAAGGTGACAGCACAGCAGAGCTTTGCAGGTAGCAGGTGTCACGTGGGAAGTGGAGGAAGGTGCTCCAGGAAGTGAGCAAAGGCTTGGAGGGGACGGATCTAAGGCAGACGTGGGCACAGGAGATCTAGAGGGCTGAGGGTGAGGAAGCCCAGGTTTCCACCTCGTGATACTCCCTCGGTGGGGGGAGGGGGGCTGAAGGGCAAGAGTGAGGGGCCACTGCTGTTATCCAGGTGGGAGGCAGGAGGCAGTGGTGGCCTGGAGGGTCAGGGTTGGGGAGAAGAGATGTTGAGAAGGGAGAGGCCCTTCAAAGATGCCCTGTTCCCATCTTGTTCCCGGAAGCTCGTTCTCCAAGACCCCCTGAGACCCCAGCACGGCCACCCCTCTAGTGCTATGGAATTCATTCCTCGGCCACGGCCGCCAGAGACTCCCCCTGGGGCCCAGAGGACTCTGAGAGCTCAGGGATCTCTCTGCTGGAGACTCGGGGATCCTGGAGAGAACACAGACCTCCTCACTCATCCTCCCGGGGTCCGGGCAAGGGGCTGTGCATGGCACCTGAGCTTCTCTCTGTGGGTCTATTTCAGGAACTGGTGCTCGTATGTGGTGACCCGCACCATCTCATGCCATGTGCAAAATGGCACGTACCTTCAGCGAGTGCTGCAGAATTGCCCCTGGCCCATGAGCTGCCCGGGGAACAGGTGAGTGAGACCGTGGTAGAGAAGGAGCTGATGGCTCTCCAGGTGGAGGAACAGCCTGGGCAAGGCCTGGTGGTGGTGGGAGTGCATTGGTGGTGTAGGGGGAGGCTGCGACCCCAGGGTGGGTAAGGCAAAGGGAGCGTTGGCCCTATGCCCATTCTCAGCACTTCCCCTTATGTTCCTGGGCGCACCCTGGAGGTCTTCCTGGGGGAGAGGTCCCACCATCACCTACACGCCTTCACTAGTGAGCATTCACAGGCTGGCTCAGATTGCAGGGGCTGAGATCTAGTTGGATGTAGATCCCCAAGCCTGGAAGGTTGGGAAGGTATAGAGGGGCTGAGTCCTAGAATGCAGGGGGAGAGAAGCTCCACAGGGGCCTGGAGGGGGCAGAAGACCCTGGGGGCTCTGGGTTTTCCCCACGGACACTGGGAGAAACAGCAGATGACCCTGCCTGAGCTGAGCCCCCTTGGCACTCTTTCAGCTACAGAACCGTGGTGAGACCCACATACAAGGTGATGTACAAGACAGTGACCGCCCGGGAGTGGAGGTGCTGCCCCGGGCACTCGGGGGCTAGCTGCGAGGAAGGTAGGACTGCCCCAGGTCCAGGCTACATGCTCCCCTGAGGGTGGGTGGGAAGGAGCAGTAAACCTGCTCAGTGGGAGACACCGCAGGGTGCAGTGCCAAGCCCACCACGGGGCCCTGCGTAGAGCTTCCAGCGAGGCGTGGCTCAGACAAAATTGGTACCTGCTGTCCCACGGGTGTTGACCACCTGCCTGGTAGGAGAAATTTAATACATGCTGTGTAGCTCAAGTCACACCATCCCGAGGCTGTCCTCCAGACATGGGGAAAACCCAGGCATGTCCAGGGGCTGTGGGAACAGCTCATGGCAGCAAAGCGCCATTTCAGCCAGCGGGTCAGCAAGGTCGGGATGGCTACACCCTTCCTGCAGGGGAGGAAACTGAGACTCAGGAAGGCAGTGGGCACACAGCTCCTAAGGGGCAGTCAGGATGGGAACCCTGGTCTGCCTGGCTCCCTAGAGAGCCTCAGGGATGGGAGGAATCAGATGAGTGCCCGTGTGTGGAGTGTGTCCCAGGCAGAGGGACCCAGCTCCCCCACCCCACTCCTCTGCATGCTCTGAGGGTGGCTCAGGCTGGGCACCCAGCAGGGGCATAGAGGACACAGCCTGGGCCTCCCTGGAGTCTGGCTACATGGTCACCTGGTGAGACCGCTCCTGGAGGCACCTGCCTGTCTGCTGAGTGGTCCAGGCCACTCCCACCCCTGCCGCCTGGCTGAACCCAGTGAGAGGAAGGGTTTTGAGCACCAAGGACTGTTTCCAAGAATAGCCCGAGAGAGGATGGACTGGCCTAGAACAGCCTGAGAACCAGGACTGTAAGCACCTCAATAAAAGAGGCATTCAGGGCCCCAAAGCAGCATATTAATGTGAACATCAGCTGCAAGAAGGATTCTGAGGCCAGAAACGCAAATGTGTGAAACACGGCCTCCAAATCAAGGGGACGTGATGCTAACAGAAGTCACCATTCACAGGTGCTTCTTGAAAGATTTACATGCTTCACCTCCCCTGGACCCCACGACAGCCCCGGTTCACAGAGAGGGCAACAGAGACCCAGAGACAGTGGAGTGGAGGGCAGGGCTTACCACAGCGTGGAGCAGGGAGGCGGCCTCACGGGTTACGATGGGGGTGGGGAGTCCCAACTGGAACCGAGGAGGCGGCCAGGGAGAAGGAAGCAGCCCAAAGCCCTGCAGGGGCCCTGCACAGAGAGGCAGCCGCCCGCACGGCCAGTGTGGGAGGCTGGGAGGAGCAGGCATGAAGGGGAGCCAGGGATAGCACTCTCCCTCCCTGCTGCGAGGAAGACGGGAAGGCAGGACCCTGGGGGCCGGGAGGAGAGCCAGCCTGGAGGGGCTGCTGCCAAGGAGGCCACAGAGGAGCTGGTGGTGGGGAGGGGACAAATCCCCAGGGCATGGGGCCACCTGGGCCTAGGGGGCCTGAGCCCAGGCAGGACCTGCCCAGACAAAGGCCACTCTGTCCCTGGCACCCCTCTTGAGAGCAGACCTTCCCAGGTCTGTGGGGCCATCATGGAGGGGTGAGGGCAGAGGACAGGTGGGGGCAACACCCATGCCCTTGAGTCCGGCAGCTGGAGGCCGTGCATCCAGGCATGAGGCTAAGGGCTGGGAGCTCTGCCAATGGCGAGGCAGGGGTACAAGACAGGATGGGCCAGGCCAACCCTGATGTCTGCCAGCTCCCTCTGCAGAGCCTTCAGGTTCCAGCCTGGGGATGGGGTTATCCCGGGCTTCTCGGGCCAGGCCAGCTCTACCACACACCAGCTGTGTGGCCTTGGGCCGGGGACTCCCCGTGCATTGCGCAAGTCCTTGTGCAAGGCCCCCCTTTCCCCAGCCAAGGGGGCAGGGCAGCTGCAATTCAAACAGCACTTGTCTCATGCCCAGTACTCAGTGGGAAGGCGCCTTCTCTAAAGGGGTGCAAGCTGCTCTTGCCACATCCTGGGGCACCCCTGCACTGGGCCTCCGTGTCCTCGCCTGTGAAATGGTCAGGATAATAGAGTCTGCCTCCCAGGGATGTTGTGAGGGTGAACTGAAGCAGTAAAGACCCTGCAGATGGTGCAGGGGCCCTTGGTGGACACTAGGCGCTATCTGATGGGATAGGAAGAGTTGGCCTCTCCCCACCTACAGGGTGGGAGCTGAGTAAAGGGATGCCCAGGCCTAGATATTCCAGAAAACTGCTCTGCTGGGGCCCTGGGAATGGGAGTGGGGAAGCGTGGGGACATCACTGGCCCATCCCGGGCCCCGCCCTTCCCCTGACAGCCAGGTTCAGGTTGGGCTCCGCCAGCTGTTTCCCCTGCTGGTGACTGCCGTCATGGTCTGTGCAGTGTTGGACATGACCTTGGGGCCATAGAGCTGCATCACCAGAGGCAACAGAGCTCAGAGCAGCCTGTGGTGAGCTGAAGGACAAGGAATACCCACCGTTCCAGAATCTAGCCCTGCACCAACTACACTCTACTGTGTGACCTGGGGCAAGTCACTTTACCTCTCTGAACTTTGTCTCTATCTAAAAGTCACCTGAGATTGAAAAGTATCTACCTCAAACCTTATGAGGACCAGAGACTCACACCTTGCCCATAGTAGATGTTCCATAAATGTCTTCCTCTCTTCTTCGGCCCCTGTGCTGGGGCCTCTGTGGTGGCTCTCAGGGACTGCCCTGCCTCCCACCTCTGAGACCTCCACTTCTCAGTCGGCTGCTCAGCAAACAGGCCTCTAGTCTCCAGACTTGATCATGAACCACAGACTTCATGGCTCTTAGCCCTGGTTTTCCCACCTGCACAATGGGAATGTTCGCGGTGATGTGGGAGGGTGGTTTCTTTGAGGTTTCTCACAATCCATGAGGAAGGGACTAGCATGGGCCTCATTTTACAGATGGGAAAACTGAGGCTCACAGCGGTGAAGGAGCTGGCCTGGGGCCACTCAGCAAATGAAAGCCAGGACTGGAACCTGCCTCACAAAGCATCAATCAGTACCTCCAGGCCTTGGGAGGTAGGGCTGGATGGCAGGGAGGGAGCCCGGCTGAGGCTCTTGCCTTGCTACCTACTCCTCCAAAACAATGGACAAGGAAGAGCAAAGACCAAATGTACTATGTGGGCTGGTCCTGACCTGCTGAGTGGCCTGGGCTGGTGAGCTCTGCTGTGACCACCATGTTACCCTGCCTCTAGGGGATCTCTGCAGACAGATACCTCGCCCATCAGACAATGAAAGTGAGACTCAGAGAGGGTATGGATCTCACATAAGGTCACACAGCAAGTAAGCATCATGGCCAAATTTCTCTCCAGGGCTCTGGCCTGGGGTCTGCAGTATCCCCCTGCCTCAGACCCTCCTGCAGTAATAATGATGAGGGGACGGAAAGTTGCTGCCATCCTCCATGCCAAACAACGTGACTTGTACTCACCTGCATCATGCCATCACGTCACAGTGCAGAAGGTCCAGATGTGGGGAGTGAGGCTGGGAGAGGGAGTGCCTTGCTCAGGGTCACCGCGGGATTCAAAATCCATCAGTCTGACCCAGAGCCAAGATCTTTCTTCTGCAGCAGCGCTGGCTGAGGACTCCAGGGGGAGGGTGTTCAGACATTTGGGGCACCGTGGGGCTGGCAGAAGTCAGCCTCAGCCCAGCCCTCCCAGATAGAAAGATAAAGGAACTGGAGGCTCTGTTGCCCTCCTCTCCCATGGATCCCCCTAGAGCCAGGCTGCCTCTGTCTCTCCCTCATGCCCCGCTGTCCTCGGTGCACATGTACCTTCCCCATCCATGGGCCCCCACAGCCCTTGTCTTCTATGATGGGGAACCAGAGAAGGCAGAAGTTTGTACAAGGTCACACAGTGAAAAAGCTTAAGAGCAGATTGGAGGTTCCAGCCCAGGTCCTTCCTGGGCCCTCGGTCTCTTCACCATCCAGGGCTGGGCCCTTCCCTCACACCTTTCACACTCTAAGCAGATGCTACATCTGTGCTTCACTCTGTGGATTCGATGTCCCAGGGGCTAAACACCGCATGAATGTGTCCACATCTGCCACCATTCACTCTTGTCTGGGAGGCCTGGCAGCCCCACCTCTCAACTCTGGGCCAGTTCATCCTCCACCCCCAGCCAGGCAGGTCCCCTCTCCACCCTCCCAGCCACCCTAACCCTGTCCTCTCTCCATTTCACTTCCAGTCCTCACTGGCCTTTTCTCCCACCCCATGACTTGGGCAGTGGCTGTCCCTCTGCCTGTGACCTTCTTGGAGCTCCTACCTGGCTAAGGTGGACCCGACCCTGCCATCACTACTCTTGTGTCTCCAGTGCCTGGCGTGGGTCTAGCAAAAAGTGGATGCACAGGAAATGAATAGGAACCTCATTTTACCCCAAAGAAGGGGCCAGGCTAGTTACAGACGAGAGCTTCCCAGAAGCCTGCTGGAGGGTTCTTGGAGCTCAGGCCCCAGCCCTGACCCTAATCCCTGACTCAGGCCAACAGCAGCAAATATTTACATTTGCAAAGTCAGTTCCCTGGAGGAGACCTGGGCTGGGGCTGCAGAGGCATACCCCTGTGGTCTGTGGTCCCTGGACCCAGAGGATCTGGGGGTGGCTTGTGCACAAGGAAGCTCGTCTCTTGGCTCCTGTCCTGGGAGAAAGTCAGAGGTGGAGCCACAGGCTCTCAGCGCCTCACACCACATGCACAGCTTGGGGCAGGGTTTGAATCCCAGCTCCCCTAGTCCTGCTCTGTGGACAGGCAGCCTCTCGGGGTCTCCGCGTGCTTGTGAGGATCCAGAGAAAAGGGGCACCGAGGCTTCTTAGCTCAGGCCTAGCACTAGGCAGAGGGAAGGGCAGCTGCTTATGAGGGCACAGGGCTAGAAACTGCAGATGGCACTGGCTTTGTACAGGTCAAGACAGGGATTGATGAGAGCTTCAGGGTGGGGGTGCCTGGTCTGTTCAGGAAGGCTTCCTGGAGGAGGTGACATGGGAGCAGCAGCTGTAGGGATGAAGGTGGGGAGGCCCTGTGTGTGTGTGTGGCCAGTAGAGACCTCCCAGGTGGTGGGAAGTGGCCCACAGTCAGGCTCCCTGAGCGGAGCTGGGGTTTGTGGTTCTGGGAGCAGCTTGGAGCCCCTGGGAGGGTGAGGCTGGGCTGGGAAGAGGCTCTTCAGGATGCACCCCCAGGCGGGGGGCGGGGGGCGGGGGGCCTGCTCCAGGGGCTCAGGCCCAACACCAGTGGGAAGGACATGACATTTTTGTCCTATGGGAGACCTTCCCCCAAACCCACGACTTTTCCCTGTTGGAATTTTGTGTGCTATGGGACCCTTTTACAGCCTGGTTTGTCCCTTAAAGTATTTCTGTCCCTTTGTCAGAATTTGGGGGAGTTGGAGGATAATTTTTTGTGAATCCTGAATCTGAGGCCAACATTTTCTAGGTTTTTTAAGTTTTGTTATTTCTTTGAATTTTCTTTTTTAAACTTTAACTCACAGTTACTTTGAGGCAGTTACATCTGCGCTGCTAGTCAGACCATGTTTCCATTAGTTTTCGAGTTCTCTCCGGCTCCCCGTGAAATGTCCGAAAGCAGATTGGTTGAAAAGAATTTTCAACCTCACGTTCACAGATAAATAACTCAGGGGCACTCTGGTGTGACAGGAGAACATGTACGCTCCTTTTTCAGACAGTTATGTCTACTGTCCCATTATTGTGCTTTTTGTTTGCTTGCTTTAAATTCATTTTCAGCCAGTGATTCATGCATTCATCAACAGAAAGTTTATTCAGGCTGCTGTGGCCCTACTGTGTGCCAGGCCCTTGCCCAGGCCAGGCACAGACAGAGGAGGTCCCTGCCCTGGTGGGGTGCAGGCTCCAGCCAGGGGGTGGACGCTGGGCAGGAACTGGCACCGTTCAGTGGCACGATGGACAGTAGAAAGTGCCATGGAGAAGAAAGGAAACCATCGCAGGGCAGTGGGAGGCAGGCTGTGCCAAAGCTGCCTCCGGAGAAAACCCAAACTTCCTCGGGCTTCAGCATTGCGGCTCTTTTGATCCACTTTCTGAGAAGAATAAGAAAATGGCCTTTTACATCTTCACCTGGGAGCAGAGAGAATGAGGAGGGCTTGGTGGGGTCATTTCTCTCAGACACCTGCATTCTGGGCCTCCCAATTTCTGCCCATTGGGATTTGGGGGCTGACTCGAGGTACCAGGTGGCCCAGGAGGGAGGAGGTTGGGCCCTGGAGTTAGACTGATGTGGGTTCAAATCCAGGCTCCAGCCTTCAGGTGGACAACCAAGGGTCAGTCACTTCACCTTTCTGCCTCGTTTTCCCCCAAGGAGAAATATTTGCATTTACTCATCCAGTCATCTAAGTCTGGGAGACAGAGGAGTGGTAATACTGAGCGGCTCTTGGCCTCAGTTTCCCCATCTGTGAAGTGGTGTTGATACTAGCACCCACTCCCAGGGTTGTGAGGATAATGAGTTCAGTCTGTACATGTGCCAGCCCAGAGCGAGTGCTCAGCCAGCATTAGCTGTTAATGTTATCGCCTACCTTGTGGGGTCATGCTGGGCTACGGAAAACACTTAGCACTGGGAATGGCTCACAGTGGCATCCCCCCTCTTGCCCACAGAACCCCAACCCCTGCCCCAGTCCTGGGCTGCCAGCCCACCTTCCTCCATCCTGGGTGAGATTTTCCCCCTGTGCTGGGGCAAGTCACAGGTCCCTAGGAGGGGGTGCTGGTGATGGAGGCCCAGCCTGAGTGCAGGCCCCGTGGTGGGACCCAGAGCAGGGTCTGGCAGCCTCCCTGCTGGGGGCTGGCCAGAGGACCAGTCTGGTTTGAGTTCCTGGCGCCTCTCACTCTCTGCACCAACCCACAGCCTGGCTCAGAGCTGCCAGGCCTGTGCCTTATTTGGGTCTTGTCTCCCCCCCCCAGACAACGCTTCATGGCCTTAAAAGGCAGGCCCGGGGGGCAGTGGGGAGCAGTTGCCCTGCTGGCTCCAGAGCCCCTCCAGCTGCATCCCCCACCCCTGGCTTGGCCAGCCCCTCCCTCCAGCTGTGGAGAAAACCAGGCTCCCCAAACCAGACGAGCCAGGCAGCCTGCTTCTCGTAGGGGTGGTGACAGGGGTGGGCTCCTGGAACAGGCCTCCTTGCCCTCCCAGGCAGCCAGACTCCCTCTGCTTTTCATTTAAAACCAGGTCTGGATCTACTTCAGGGTCTTCTTACCAAGTGGGGCATGGTGAACAGCAGTGTCGCAGCTGCCATTTATAGAGTGCCTACTATGTGCCAGGCCCTGCACGTGCGTAGGCCCTTTGCACACATCACCGGCCTCAGCCTTCAGACCAGCCTGGGAGATATAATGGCCTTATGACCCCATTTTACAGATGGGAAAATAGATCCAGAGAGGACAAGTCACACAGGTTAGCAAGTGACAGGGCTGGGACCCAACCTTGCATCTGTTACCTCTAAGCTTTTGACACGTGCAGCTCGCTGGGATCACTGGGGAAGCCCCAGCCTTATCTATGGCCCCTGCCTCTTGCCAGCCCCTCTCCCAGCTCCATCGGGCTGGTAGCCTCGCTCCAGCTCAACCCAGTTCATGCTGTGACCCAGGTAGACTGCCCCACTTCTCTGGGTCTCCGTATCCCTCTGCACCAAGGGGAGTAGAGTTCCCTGCTGGGGCTAGAGTCGCAGAGGGGGCAGGAGGGTCTGACCAAACAAGGATGGCGCTGGCCAGCAAGGCTGTCATCCCACTGTCCCTCAGTTGCAGGCTCCTCTGGCTTCGTGGAGCCCAAGTGGTCGGGCAAAGCCATGCGACAGATGATGCTTCGGCCCACAGTCTTCTCAGGTGGGTCCTGGGGCAGCTGCCGTGGGTGCCCTCGGCTGGGGGAGGTCTGGAGGGGGCCCAGGCAATGTGGTGACTGCCCTAAACACCATCGGGGTCCAGCAGTGGAAGGGCAGGAAGAGTGTCCTGCCCTTGCCTGCCCCGGGCTGGAAAGAAAACCTTGAGGGAGAGGAAGGGCCCAAAGAGTCTGACCCGAGCCCAGGCACCCCAAGACCCTTGACCCCCAGACTTTTGCAGATGCAGGTCCAAGCCCCCAGTTTTCTCTTTTAATTTAAACTGCACTTCTCTGAGCATCTGTGATGTGCGAGGCACCGTGCCAGGTGCTTTTCATTGTCAACCTGTTTAAACCTCACATCTGTGTCCCTGTCCCCCAGGAAGGCATTATTGTCCCCGTTTTAAAGAGGAGGAAACTGGGGGTCACGGAGAGGACATGCCCTGCCTGAGGCCCCACAGCCAAGAAGGGGCAGCTCTGGGACTTGACCCCTGTTGTGCATTCTGTCCACCCTTGCTCTGAGCTCAGTCCTCTTGGGTGTGAACGGGGGTGACAGTTGACCTAAAATGCAGGATCATGGACAGGACTGGAGAGACAGACTTGTAAAGTGCTCAGCAGTACCTGGCAGCCAGGAGGCTCCGTAGTGGGCCAGAACTGTTATGAATAATTAAGGGATATCGCCGAAGAGGCCCGAGGCTCTAGACAGTGGTTCTGAAGGGAGGGTCAGGGGGTGGCACCTCTGAGGCTAGCCCATTTCAGATTATAATGTGTCAGTCCCCAAAGCCAGCAAACCCAGGCAGCCCCGCCCAGGTGGGAAGCAACAGGATTTCCTGCCCTGGCTTCCCGGAAGGGAGTCATTTTGGATGTCCAGGCTGCTGGGGTTGGCTCCCTGGCCCTGCTCGGGGAGAACCTGCAGGGCACGGCCCACCCTGGACAGGCTGCTCTCCGCAGCGTCTTTCCTGTGCTGGCTCGCTCATGGGTGGGGGTCATCAGGTGTCTGTTCGCTTCCTCCACTCTGCCTCCAGGGACTGAGGGGCTCCAAGGGGAGCCTGGGACCCCTGGCCCCAGCCCTGGCCTCCTTCCTTCCGCAGGTTGTGCCAACTGCAGCCAAGTGTCGGAGCTGACGGAACGGCTAAAGTTGCTGGAGGCCAAGGTGGGTGACCAGCTGTCCCCTTGCCCCCAGCCTCTCCACCCTGTCTCTGCACCCCATGCCCACAACATTCATGGGCAGGCAGCTTTCCTGCTAGACGTATACCACCTTCCAGTCTGCTGCCATCCAGCTTTTTTGGCCTCCCCCACAGTACCCCTCCCCGGGAAGCCTGCTCTTCCTCCAGGAGTCCCATGAAGTTCCCCGCACTTGCACCCCCATTCCCATCCCAGCCTGGTATTTGCAGACACCCCTAGAGCTCGTGACTAAGCCCCTCGCCCTGTCACCTTCATCCTTTATCAAAAGCAAATCATCTATTGCACGTCTCAAATTATTGCAAGATGAAAAGGTTTTAGCAATTAAAAAGTAAAACACTCATGTTTTCGGAAACATGAACAACTCAGAACTGTGAGAAACCTACCGGAAAACTATTCGCCGCAGTCCCTGCGCCCCCAGAGAGAGCGGCTGTCAACATCTAAGCATCTTCTCTTCCACATTGTCTAGAGCAGCGGTTCTCAACCTGCGGGTCGGGACCCCTTTGAGGGTTGAACGACCCTTTCACAGGGGTCGCCTAAGACATAACAGTAGCAAAATTACAGTTATGAAGTAGCAACGAAAATAATTTTATGGTTTGGGGTCACCACAACATGAGGAACTGTATTAAAGGGTTGCGGCATTAGGAAGGTTGGGAACCACTGGTCTAGAGCATGAGAGCCATATACACTTTGTCTGCATATCCTTTCCCTGGGAATTTGTCTTAAGGTTAGATGTGAAGATGTGTACCACAGTGATAACTATTCACGGGGAAATGTGAAAACCGGAGAACAGCAGGGCTGGTTGCATACTTAGGGAGCAAGGTACAGTGGAATACTAGACAGTCATGAACAGCACCTCCATTTTGTAACATGAAAAGGTGCCCCTGAAGTATCAAGTGGAAAATTAAGCTTCTGAACAGCATGTACTATAACCTCAGTCTGAGGCATAGGAGCCCCAGGAATCCCATACCGCTGCCCAAGCTCCCTCTGCGGAGAAGCCAGAATGAGGGGAGCTCAGTCCCAGCCCTGGAGTGTTGCTCTCAGTCTGCCCCAGAGTTCCAGCTTTTTTCTGGACCAGCCCACACAATCCCCCACCTCCAGTCAGTGGACGTTCTGGCCTTTCTTTAATCCTCAGTCAGTGGTTCGGGGCACTGCCAACCTTTGAGAGCTGTCCCCCTGCCCCTGCACTATATCCGAAGTAGTTTTGTAAACACCTCGTGGTATTTCACGTCAGACCCTCCCAAACTGCCCTCCAAATTCCGTAAAAATTCTTCCAGCCCATGGTGCTTTGACAGTCCAAGAGAAGTTTCACATGATTTACGCAAGTAAGCATAAGAAAAACAACGCACAGTCCAGCAAACACGGTGATGTCACTGAACTCCATGTGGGTGGCAGTGGTGGTGTGTAATGACTCTTCTACAACAAGTGTGATGAATTTTGCAGTTTGAAAACTGCAGTCACTTCTGATGAAGTTCTGGGCCAACCTGGGCTCTGCTGGCTCCTTGGGCCTCCTGCCCCCGATACTGGAGTCCATTGGCTGGCCTGTCCCTGCTGAGGCCCTGGGACCCACCCCATCTCTCTTCCTCTTCCTCTGCAGGTGGCGGTGCTGACTATCACCGAGCGGGCAGTGCCCCCAACCCCAGCTGCCCCTGAGGACCCCGCCCCACTCTGGGGCTCCCCAGCTGCCCAGGGCAGCCCTGGGGATGGAGGCCTCCGAGGTGAGTTGGTCAGTGGGGAGCACACTCCCTTGTGGGACTGAGTTGGGGGAATGAGATACCAGTCTCCACTCTGCAGCTGACTCCCAGCTTGACCCCCTTGTGGGCCTGGGTCTTCCCAGATTTCACTGGAGTCCTGGGAGGCCCAGCAGACCCTACCCCCACCACTTCTGGTGGAGCTGGGGGCAGGGCCTCTGGATGACAGAGACCCCTGCCTCCCACCCCCACCCCCCAACTCCAGGGCTGCCGGGAGCCAGAGAAAACGAGAGGGCCCCACTGCTCCCTCGAGATGGTAGGTGCTGGCTGGGGGGACAGGGTCGGGGCAGGAGCAAGGCCAGAGCTAATGAGATTTCTCCCCCAGACCGAGTTGGTGCCTGGGGGCTTCCTGGGCCCATTGGCCCCAAGGGAGACACTGGCAGCCGGGGTCCAACAGGAATGAGAGGCCCACCAGGTGAGTATGCACAGCACTGCCCCCAACTTTCCTGGCCAGCCCGTCCAGGTAGACCCAGGCTGGGATCTTCCAGAGGTGGCCTGGGCCCCTTCCACTCGCTTGTCTCACCCACCACCCATCCAAGGGTGCCCCACACATGCTGGGCTCCTCAAAACCCTCTTTTGGCCCTGGCCGGTTTGGCTCAGCGGTTAGAGCGTCGGCCTGCGGTCTGGAGAGACCCGGGTTCGGTTCCCGCTAAGGGCACGAACCTCGGTTGCAGTTTATCCCTGACCCTGGTTGGGTCGTGTGAGTGGAGACCACTCGATGTGTCCCTTTCACGTCAATGTTTCTCTCTCTTTCTTCCTCTCTCTCCCACTCTATCTGAACAAAATATCGAAAAATGTCCTCGGGTGAGGATTAAAAACAAACCCACTTTTGCGTTCACTCAGCCCACGTTCTCTGAGAACCTACTCCAGCAGGCTCTGAGCTGGACACTTAGGTGGGATCACACAGTCCCCCCCTTCCTGGAGCTCCCAGGTGGTGGAAGGGTGGGCCTAGGCAGGAGAGAAACAGCAGTGCCCACCCCTGTGACCTGGGTTCTTATGGGGACGTTGCAAGTATGGGAGCCCCAGGGAGGGAATCTCAGGCCCAGCCTGGAGAGGGTGGGGGCTGGAGAAGGCTTCCCAGTGCGACTGCCATCTTAGTGAGGCCTGAAGGATGACCCCAAGTGCACACCAGTCATAGCAAGGGAGGTCTGACCAGTAGAAGGAACAGCTCCTGCAAAAGCCTGGAAGGGAGAGAAGAGAACATTCTGGAAGTCAAGATTTACTAAGCCACAAGTGTCCATTGTGCTAAGGCCCCTAGGGAGGGCTGAGTGTTTTCTCCTGAGAGACAGCCGGGGAGGTCAGAGCCAGCAGTTGCCCTGACTCATGGCCTCCAGAGCCTCTCATGCCCTCTGCCCCAGGCTGCCTTGCGCTTCCCCTTAGAGCCGCCCTGGGCCTCTGCCTCCTGCACACCCTCCCACCCCCTTGGTTCTGTTGCAGGTCCACAGGGCCCTCCAGGGAGCCCTGGCCAGGACGGAGCTATGGGCATCCCTGGAGAAAGGGGCCCTCCTGGCCCCCCTGGACCTCCGGGCCCCCCTGGCCCCCCAGCCCCCATTGGGCCACCCCATACCCAGATCTCTGAGCATGGTGAGTCCCTCAGGGTCACAGTGGGCGCAGGTGGGGGTGGGGTGAGGCTGGCATATCCATCACCAAATATTACTGCTGTCTACTAGGCACTTTCTATGTAGCTTTCCCTTGGTCAGCCACATGTCACCCACCTTGGATGGGCACTGTTGTCCTCCTCTGTTCACTGATGAGGAAAACTGAGGGCCCCAGAGGGGAGATCATACGGTCAGGGCATGGGGGGCTGGCTTCAAACCCAGGTGGCCTCTGAGCCTGTGCTTGGAACCACCTGGCATCAGGCCCTCCAGCCAAGCCTTGAGCTGGCCAGGATCCAGTCCTCAGAGCACAGGGGCGCTCAAGGCTCGGCAGCAGGAAGTGAGCCCTGAACTGCCAAGGCCACACCCGTGCCCCTGTGCTCAGAGACGCCCCAGCCCCCTCCACCCACCTGGGCCCTGACGTACCTTTCACCTCCTCCCTAGTCTAACCTACATGTGTGATGCCAGAGGGCAGAGCTTGGAGTGCCAGGTTCAGCCCCATCTGTTTCCTATTGGTGCAGATAGGACCAAGTACCATCGTTCATTTTCCCATTCATTCCATCGCACCATTTGTTCTCCCTCTCCAAGCCTCGGTTTCCTCATCTATACAATGGGGATGATGACAGTGCTGACCTCCCAGAGCCCTGCACAGAAGCCTGGCCCTAAGTAGGTGGTCAGTAAATGGTAGCTTTTATGGTTGTCCCCATGGGAGATGTGGCAGTGCAGGCTCAGCAAGGCAGGGAGTCTTACTGGATAGCACCAGCTAGACGGCGGCAGGTTGGAACCCGGGTCTCTCTGTCTCCTGGACTGTGTGGCCAACACTCTCCCCACTCTCCACTCTTGGAGCAGATGCCAGGGGGCCCCAGCCATGCTGCAGGCTGTCCCACAGAGCAGTCAAAGCTGGCTTGGCACAGATGGCAGGAGAAGACTGGCTGTCCTTCTCTGTCCAGCCCTGCCCCACCCAGCCCTGCCCACCAGCATCTTTCCTCCTGCAGGGGACCCATTTCTGTCTAACACCTTCACTGAGACCAGCAGCCATTGGCCCCAGGGACCAGCTGGGCCTCCCGGACCCCCAGGGCCTGTGGGTAAGTTGAGTCCAGGTCTGGAAGAAGGGGTGAGGTTGAGGGATGGCAGAGGGATTCGAGCTGTGGCTCTCAGGAGGAAGCTGACTTCCTACCATTGTACTCTGTTTTGGTCCTGAGGATATCCTATCCTTTTTTTTTTTTAATTTATTGGGGTGACATTGGTCAATAAAATTATATAGGTTTCAGGTGTATAAGTCAATACTACATCATCTGTCTATTGTATTGTGTGTTCACCACCCCAAGTCAAGTCTCCTAGGATATCCTGTCTTATTCCAGGTCCCCCCGGACCTCCTGGTCCCATGGGCATTCCTGGGAGTCCTGGACATATAGTGAGTATTTCTCCAAGTACTCTCACTCATCTGTCCATCCATCCACTCATTCATCCATTATTCATTCATCCATTATTCATTCATTCATTCTTTTATGGAGCACTGAATATACAAACTACTTTTTGTAACGCTTCTCATTCAATCCATGTAACAAGAAGCAGTGTTGTTACTACCTGAGGCCAAGAAAGGTAGAGATACTTGCCCTAGGGCTGTGGCCATGGCAACTTCCAGATCAAGGTGGGAACTGTCTGATCCCAGGAGCTGTATGAACTTCTCACGGAGTGCCTGTCACTGGATGTGTGAAGGGCCCAGAGGCCCAGGCCAAGCTGGACTCCCACCCCCACTCCTCTGCCCCCCAAGTTCCTGCCCCTCCTACCCTGCCCCAGCACAAGGCTGAGGCCCTATCTTGTTGCTCAGGGACCCCCAGGCCCCTCTGGACCCAAAGGAATTTCCGGCCACCCAGGAGAAAAGGGCGAGAGAGTGAGTACTGAATTGGCCCCTGGGTGGAGGATCCTGGGGAGGCTTGGGTCAGACGTACCAACAGCTGACTCCATACTTCTCCTTCTCCCACATAGGGACTGCGTGGAGAGCCGGGCCCCCAAGGCTCCATGGGACAGCGGGTGAGTGATGCTGCTCACCCTGCAGCACCCCCTCCGGGATCCCGCAGCACAGACCCCTTCTCTGGCTCCAGCCCCTGTGGCCAGAACTCCAGACCCTCCAGTCTGGTCCCGGGCGTGCTCCATCTCCTCTCTACCTCCCTGTCTCGGGGCCTTTCAGCCTCTTAGGGTCAAGCCACCTCCATCTCTAAGGATCTGCACCTGTTTCTCCTTCTCTGTCCCTCCGCGTCTCTATCTCTCCAATTCCCCGTATTTCTGTTCCTCTATCTCTCTACTATAATCATAGATTTGTCTGTTTCTCCCTTTACTTTGGTCCATTTTTTTGCTTCATGTATTTCTGAGCTTTGTTGTTAGGTGCATACACATTGAGTATTTTATCGTCTTCTTGGCCTTTTTATCTTTATGAAGTGAATATCTTCCTCTCTGGTAGTATTGTCTTAAATTCTACTCTGGTATTTTATGGTATATCCTTTCCAATCCTTTTAACTTTCAACCTGTCTGTGTGTCTCTATTTAAAGTGTGTCTCTTATAAACGTACCTGAGTTTTGCTTTTTTTTCTTTTAACAGTCTGACTGTTGAGTTCATTTACATTTAGTAATATGTATAGTTATTGATATGGTTGGGTTTAAGTCAACCATCTTGCTATTTGTTATCTGTTTACCCCCAATCTCTTTATTTCTTTTCTCCCCTCTACTAATAACTTTAAAAATACCTCTTAGTGTTATTTTTTCATGGTTGCTCTAAGAATAACAACATGTACCCGTGGTTGATCACATTTACTTGAATTAATGTTATGCTACTTCATGTCTAAGTAGGAATTACAACAGTGTGAATTAAATCCCCTCTGTCCTTCTGCTGTTTTACTTCTGCATTTGTTATAAACCCCACAATATATTGTTATAACTTTAAACACTCAGTTGATTTTTAAAGAAGTTAACAAAACAAAGAAAAATAGTTTTTTACATCTACTGATGTATTTATAATTTCTAATACTCTCTACACCTTCCTATGAATCCAGATTTCCATCTGGTATCATTTCTCTTCAGTTTAAAGAATGTTCTTCTTTTTATTATTATTATTAATTTATTTTTGTTACAGATGTTTCTCCTTTTCCCCCCATTGACACCCTCCTCCCCACCCCCACCCCCTGTCCCGTCCCCAGCTTTGTTGTCTATGTCCATTGGTTATGCATGTTATGCATACTTGCATATAAGTTCTGTGGTTTATCTCTTCCTTCCCTCCACTCCCCCTTCTGAGGTTTGTCAATCTGTACCCTACTTTTATGTGTCTGGGTCTATTTTGTTCATCAGTTTGTTTTGTTCACTATATACCACAAGTAAGTGAGATCATGTGATATTTGTCTTTCTCTGCTTGGCTTGTTTTGCTTAAGAATGCCCTTTTTAACTCTTCTTGTTGTGTGGTCTGTGGACAACAAATCCTCACTCTTTTTGTTCATCTAAAGCTGCCTTTACCTTAACTGTTGAAAGACATTTTCACAGGGTATAAAATGATAAGTTGGCAGTTTCCTCCCCTTTTGGCACTTTAAAGATGATGTCCTGTGTCCTTCCAGCTCACAGAGACTATTCTACTTTCTCATGAGAAATTGGTTGTCACTCTTATTATTGTTCCCCTGTGTATGTTTTCTTTGACTTTTAAGATTTTTCCCTTTACCCTTGGTTTTTGAGAGATTGATCATGATGTGGTTGGGTGTGATTTTCTTTGTGTTTATCCTGCTTTGGGTTCACTGAGATTCCTGGATCTGTAAGGTTGCTGGGCTTTTTGTTTTTGTTGGTTGTTTAGAGCATTATTTTGGGTTTACAGCAAAATTAAGCAAAAAAGTACAGAGAATTCCTATATACTCCCGGTCCCCACACATGCACACCCTCCCCCACTGTTAACCTCTTGCACCACAGTGCAACATTGGGTAAACTGATGAATCCACATTGACATGTCATTTATCACCCAAAGTCCATAGTTTACCTTAGGGTTCACTCTTGGTGTTGTACATTCTATGGCTATTGACAGATGTATGATGATGTGTCCCCCATTGTAGTATCATACAGAAGAGTTTCACTGCCCTAAAAATCCTCTTTGCCCTGCCCCTGTGTTCACTGCAGCATTATTTACAATAGCCAAGATAGGAAGCAACCCAAGTGCCCATCAGTAGATGACTGGATAAAAAAGATATGGTACATATATTCAATGGAATAGTACTTGGCCACAAAAAAGAATGGAATTTTACCATTTACGACAACATGGATGGACCTAGAGGGTGTTATGCTAAATGAAATATCAGACAGAGAAAGACAAATACCATATGATTTCACTTATATGTGGAATTTAAAGAACAAAATAAATGAACAAACAGAAACAGACTCATAGATATTGAGAACAAACTGAGGATTGCCAGATGAAAGGAGGTTGGGAGGCTGGGTAAGCAAGGTGAAGAGATTAAGAATTACACATTGGCAGTTACAGAATAGTCATGAGGATGTAAAGTACAGCATAAAGAATATATTCAATAATATTGTTATAACTATGTATTGTGCCAGAGGGTACCAGACTTATAGGAAGGATCACTTCATAAATTATATAATTGTCTAACCACTATGCAGTACACCTGAAACTAACATAAAATAATACTGAATGTCAACTGTAACTGAAAAATAAAATTAAACCAAAAAAGAGAAAAGCACCCTGTTCAGAGTGTCATCCCGATATCCCAAGGTTGCCGGTTCAATCCCTGGTTAAAGCACATGCAAGAATCAACTAATGAATCCATAAATAAGTGGAACAGGGGGAGGGGAGAATCAGTGGGTGAAAAAGGGGAAACATCTATAACAAAAATAAATTAATTAATTTTTAAAAATAAGTGGAACAACAAATTAATGTTTTTCTCTCTCTTTCTCTCCCCCTCTGTCCCCTCCCCAAACTCGGTAAATTTTTTAAAATTAAAATAACAGAAAAAAGAAAAAACAAAATCCTCTCTGCTCTGCCTATTTATCCCTTTCTCCTCTTTAACCCCTGGATACCACTAATCTTTTACGGTCTCCATAGTTTTGCTTTTTCCAGAATATCATATAGTTGGAATCATACAGTATGTAGCTTTTTCCAATTGGCTTCTTTCACTTAGTAAGATGCATGTAAGAGTCCCCCATTCCTTTCCATGGCTTGCAGCTCATTTCTTTTTAGTTCTGAATAATATTCCATTGTATGTACCTCAGTTTACTTATCTATTCACCTACCAAAAGACATCTTTGTTGCTGCCAGGTTTTGGCAATTATGAATAAGGGTGCTATAAACATCTATGTGTAGGTTTTAGTGTGAACATACATTTTCAGTTCATTTGGGTGGATACCAATGAGTGCAATAGCTGGGTCACATGGTAAGAGTATGTTTAGTTTTGTAAGAAACCGCGAAACGGTCTTCCAAAGTGCCATACTATTCTGCATTCCCACCAGCAGTGAGTGAGAGTTCCTGTTGCTCCCCATCCCCACCAGCATTTGGTGTTGTCAGTGTTCTGGGATGTGGTTATTCCAATAGTTGTGTAGTGGTGTGTCGTTTTAATTTGCATGTCCTTGATGACATATGATGTTGATCATCTTTTATATGCTTACTTGCCAGCTGTATATCTTCTTCTGTGAGGTGTCTGGTCAGGTGTTCTGCCCTGTTTTTCCCTCCAGCTTTATTAAGGTATAATTGACAAATTGTAATATATTTAGTATACAGGATACTTGATATATATTGCACTGTGAAAGGATCCCCACAATCAAGTTAATTAACACATCCATCACCTCACATAGTCACCTTTTGTGTGTATGTGTGGTGAGAACACTTAAAATTCTACTCCCTTAGCAAATTTCAATTATACAGTAGAATATTCAACAATAGTGACCATTATACATTAGATCTGCAGACCTTAGCCATCTTATAACTGAAAGTTTGTACCTTTTACCAACCTTTTTTCCATTTCCCCACCCCCACAGCCCCTGGTAACCACTATTCTACTCCATGAACTGTTTTTTAATATATTCCACATGTGATACCATGCAATATTTGTCTTTCTCTGTCTGGTTTATTTCACTTGGCATAATGCCCTCCAACTTCATACATGTTGTCACAAATAGGAGGATTTCCTTCTTTCTAAGGCTGAATAAGATTCCTTTATATATATATTGCATCTTTTAATTCATTCATCCATTGATGGACACTTAGCTTGCTTCCATTGTTGGTTGTTGTAAATAATGTTGCTATGAACATGGAAGTGCTGATATCGCTTCAAAATAGTGATTTCATCTTCTTTGGATATATACGTAGAAGTGGGTTACCTGGATCATATGGTAGCTCTATTTTTAATTTTTTGAGGAACCTCCCTACTGTTTTCCATAATGGCTGTGCCAGTGTATATTCCCACCAACAGGGTTCCCTTTGCTATATAGTCTCACCAACATTTGTTATCTCATGTCTGGTGGTTTTTTTTTTAAGTGTTTTTATTTTATGTTTGTTTTTTAAGAGAGAGACAGAGGAACCCAGCTGGTGTGGCTCACTGGTTGAGCAACGACCCATGCACCAAGAGGTCACTAGTTCAATTCCCAGTCAGGGCACATGCCTGGGTTGTGGGCCCAATCCCCAGTGGGGGGCATGCAGGAGGCGGCCAATCGGTGTTCTCTCTCATCGATGTTTCTATCTCTCTCTCCCTCTCCCTTCCTCTTTCTCTAAAACTCAATAGAGAAAACATTTTTAAAAAAAAAAATAAGAGAGAGAGAGGAAGGAAGAAGGAGAAAGAGAGAGAGAAATATCATTGAGAGAGAACCATCAATTGGCTGCCTCCCTCAGGCCCCCTACTGGGGATAAGCCCCCTATGGGGCATGTGCCCTGTCCAGGAATGGAACCAGCAACCTCTCCATGCATGGGACGATGCTCAATCAAGTGAGCCACATCCACTAGGGCTGGAGTTTTATTATTTTTTTAATTAATTAATTAATTTTTTGTTAATCCTCACCCGAGGATATTTTTTCTTTGATTTTCAGATAGAGTGGAAGGGAGGGAGGGAAGGAGAGATGATGTGAGAGAGACATATTGATTGGTTGCCTCCTGCATGACACCAACCAGGGCTGGGAATCGAACCTGCAACCCAGGTACGTGCCCTTGACTGGGAATTGAACTCAAGACCTATTAGGCCAACTTTCTAACTGCTGAGCCAAACCGTCCAGGGCTGTAGTTTTCTTTTTTAAAATGCCTTTGCCTAGTTTTGATATTAGGGTAATATTGGCTTCATAGAATGTGTTAGAAAATATTGCCTCTGCTTTTATCCTCTGAAAGAGATTTTAGAGAATTGATATAATTTATTTCTTAAATGTTTGTTTAGAATTCAGCAGTGAACCTATCTGGGCCTGGTGATTTTTGTTTTGAAAGGTTATTAATTATTTACCTAATTTCTTTTTTGGGGAACATGCCCCTAGCGGGAACCAAACCCAGAACTCTCTGATCCACAGGCCGACACTCCAACCGCTGTGCCAAACCGGCCAGGGCTGATCTAATTTCTTTAATAGGTATAGGCCTTTTCTATTTCTCCTTGTGTGAGTTTTGACAGATTGTGTCTTTCAAGGACTTGGTCTATTTCATCTAGGTTCTCAAATTTGTGGACAGAGTTGTTCATAATATTCCTTTGTTACCCTTTTAATGTCCAGGAGATCTTTAGTCTTTTCTTTCATTTCTGTTTTTTTTGTTGTTGTTGTTGTTGTTGTTGTTCCATTTTTTCTTTTATTGATTTGAGAGAAAGAAACATCAGTTGTTGTTCTACTTATTGATGCACTCATTGATGCATTCATTGAATGTGCCCTGACCAGGGATAGAATTTGCAGCCTTAATGTATCAGGACGATACTCTAATTAACTGAGCTACCTGGCCAAGAGGGATCTTTAGTTTCTGATACTAGTAATTTGTGTCTTTCTTCCTCTCTCTCTCTCTCACTCTCTCTCTGTAATTATCCTGGCTAGGGGCTTGTCAGTGTTTTTAAAAATATTTTTTCTTTATTGATTTTAGAGAGAGAGCAAGGGAGAGGGAGCGAGAGAGAGAAACATCGATGAGAGAGAACATCAATTGCCCGCCTCCTGTATGCCCCTCACTGGGGATCGGGCCCACAACTTGGGCATGTGCCCTGACCTGGAATCGAACTGGCGATCTCTTGGTGCAGGGGTCAACACTCAAACAGTGAGCCATACCGGCTGGGTGGGGCTTGTCAATTTTATTGATATTTTTAAAGAACTAGCTTTTACTTCTGTTGATTTTCTCTATCGATTTCCTGTTTTCAGTTTCATTGATTTCTTCTCTAATTTTTATTATTTATTTTCTTTTGTTTACTTTGGAGTTAATTTGTTCTTCTTTTCCTACTTTCCTGAGGTGGAAACAGACTGTTGATTTTAGATCTTTTTCCTTCTAACGTGTATTCAGCGCTATTTCCCTCTAAGCCCTGCTTTCACTGCCTGCACAATTTTTGATAAGTTGTATTAGTATTTTCATTTCCTTTAAAATATTTTAAGGTTTCTCTTAAGATTTCTTCTTTGACCTTTCTTCTTTGACACTTCTTAGAAGTGTATGGTTTAATATCCAAGTATTTTTGGATTTTCCAGTTTCTTTCTGTTCTTCATTTCTAGTTTAATTCCATTGTGGTCTGAGAACAAACATTGTATGATTTCTGTTCTTTTAAATGTGTTGAGGTTTTGCCCGGCCAGTGGGGCTCAGTGGACTGAGCGTCATCCCATGGACTGAGAGGTCCCAGTTCGATTCCCAGTCAGGGCACACGCGTGGGTTGCGGGCTCGATCCCCAGTAGGGAGTGTGCTGGAGGTAGCTGATCAGTGTTTCTCTCTCACATTGATGTTTCTCTCTCTCCCTTCCTCTCTCTCAAAAAAGTCAATGAAAACATATTTAAATAAATAAATACATGGGTTGGTATATTTTATGGCCCTGAATGGGGTCTATCCTGATGAATGTTCCATGTGAACTTGAGAACAATGTGTGATTTGCTGTTGCTGGATGATGTGATCCATAGATGTCAATTATATCCAGTTGATTGATGGTATATTGTCGAGTTCAACTGTGTCCTTACTGATTTTCTGCCAGTTGGATTTGTCCGTTCCTGACAGAGAGGGTTAAAGTCTCCAACTATATTAGTGGATTTATTTATGTCTCCTTACAGTTCTATCAGTTTTGACCTCTGACTCCTCAGGCCAATAAAACTAAAGCTTTCTGCTTGAGCCCTTTGCTAGATTCAGGGGTTGGGGATTCAGGGGTTCCTACAGAGGAAAGGCTATAAATACATGGATTTTACCCAGTGCTATTTCCTCCTTTGAAAGAACAAATATTCTCTAGTTTCTGGCTGCTCTTTATCACTTTCCATTGCCTTCAAACAGTTGTTTTTTGCGTTTTATCTAGTGTTAATCCAATACAAACTACTCTCTGTCTTTCAGCCTCCCTCATTATGTCTCTCTCTTTCTTTCCTTCCCTCCTCCCCTCTCTCATTGCTTCTACCTCCATTTCTCCTTGCAGGGAGAACCTGGCCCCAAAGGAGACCCTGGTGAGAAGAGCCACTGGGTAAGCTCCAGCCCAGCACTGGTCTTCTGCTATGCCCTCCTTCCCTGGCACTCAGGAGATTACTTTGGAGTGGGGCGCCCCAGCCAAATCCCCACTGCAGTCTGGTCTCCCAGGGAGAAACCTGGACAGTTCTCAGCCCTAGCCCCTCCCTTATTTGTCTCTCCCAGCTGGGCAGGGCCAGCCTCATCAGCAGACCCCATGCTCTCTGTCTGTCTTCACATCCCTGTCTCTACCTTCCTTCTGTGGCCTTTCTAGGCCAGGGTGACCCTGCCTGTTCCTCCTGGGCAGTTCGGGCTGACCCAGTCCAGACTGCATCCCTTGCCTCCATAGCCCTCCCCAAGCAAGGATTTTGGCTTCTGCTCCCCTGTCTACATGAGAAAGGGAAGCATGAAAACAATGTCCACCCAGAAAACTGGGACGGGGGCCTTAGGAAAGCCATGAAACATAGGAAGGGAGGAGTAGAAATGCTGAGGTACACAGGAGCCCGTGGCAAAAGGTACAGGGGACCTAGACACCATCATACACATAGGAAATCCATGAAGCATGGAAAGAGAGGGCCTAGAAACCATCATGTACATGATGTACATAATGAACATGGTAAACGAGGTCGGGGTCCTAGGCTCCACTATGTCCAAAAGACCCATAATTAACACAATGTCCTAGATACCATCACATACATAGGAGACCCAGTAAGACAAACTGTTATAGGCACAGGAAAACCATGAAAAATGAGATGAGGCAATCTAGTAAGCACCATACACAAAGGAAGCCCATGAAGAATGGGAAGGGAGGCCTAGAAACTCACATACCCAGGAAATAGAATAAATGGGAAAGGGGACCTAGAAACCTTCACAATCATTGGAGATAGTTACAGTGAATGAATTTCAGGGCCTAGAAATCTATCCACTCAAGAAACACATTGGAGGAGGACCAAAAGCCCCAAAATGCAGGGACCTGGAAATCATCACTGACATAGGAGACATTTGGAAAATGGACGGGGTAGGGGTAGACACCCCTACAGGAGAGACAACTGGGAAGCTCTTTTGGAGGCTAATATTGTGCCTCCCTCCTCCACCCCACTCCCCTCTCCCTGGTGCAGTCTGGCTGGGACATCCTACTTCCTGGCAGGCACTAGTTAGTGAGGACGCGGGAAGCACCCAGCGCCTGCCTTGCCTTCTCTGCTCCTGAATGTGGGGTCAGTGATGGATACAGCCGTGGGAGTCCCCCACCCTGCACGAGTCCAACCCCATGTCTTTCCGTGACTTCTGGGGTCCTGCTACCTTTCCGGCAAGCCTCTCCCAGCTCCTCGCTGCCATTCTACCTCTCTCCCCACCACCCCATGGTGGCTTCAGAGCCTCTTAAGCATACTACCAGTATGGGCATGAGCTGGGCTGGGGGTCAAGTAGACCTTTGTGAGCCCAGCCCTCTGCCTCCCCTGAGCCCCTTTACTGGCCTCTCCCAGAACATTTTCCACCCTGCCCAGGAAAGGTGGGAGAGCCAGGTGAAGTCTGAGTTAGGCTAAGCAGCCCCATCCCTGCGTGGGGATCCCAGCAGGAGAACAGATGCCTGAACTATCCCAGATCAGGCCTCAATCTCGGGACCACCTGTGGGAGGGGCCCCCAAGAGGTAGCAGGGCCCCTACCCATCCGCCTGCCTCCCCTTCACCCACCTGCACTTCTGTCCTTGCTTGCTGCTTGCCTGAGAGGGGGCCTTTTGGGCTGGGGGCTGCATGAAGCTTTGGAGGCTGGGGGAGCAGTTCTGTTGGGAGCAGGTAGGAATTAGGTCCGGTGTAGGAAGGGCACTGAGGACTCCTATACGCACTCTACCTACCAACCCCACTTAGAGAACAAGCTTTCTGAGCCACGGGCCCCGCTGTGGCTCAGCAGTGACACCAAGTGGTAATACATGTGCACTGCAGGCACTGCTAAGGAGTGACTGAGCTGAGCCAGCTTATCTAGAACAAAGCTCATACCTCTTAGACAGGAAGAGCAGGGGCCCAGCTCCACCGAGCAAATTGTTGGCAGAGCAAGAACTGAAGCCCAGGCTTTTCAGCTCCTAGGACTTGGGGAACCAGCTAACACTCCCCCAAGCATCTCCTTGGTGGGTGCCAGGCTCCAGGACATAGATGCAATTTGGACACAGTCCCCACCCGTAGGGTGGTCACAGTGGAGTTCAGGGAAATGGACTAGTAACCAGCAGCGTTAGGACGGGGGAACTCAGCTGTGATGGAGGAGGATTTAGCATCCTCTTGGTGGAGGCCCATGCTGAGGCCTAAAAGATACGTTAACAAGGCCAAAGGTGTTCAGGCAGAGGGGCAGGAGCACCATGTGCAAATACTTGGAGTGGCAGAGTGTGATAGAACAGAAGTCAAATGGACTTCTGACTTTCAGGACTTAGGAGACCATAATGAGGAATCTGAACTTTGTTTTATGGGCAGTGGGAAGTCATTGTAATAGTTATGAGCAGGAAAGTGTCGTGGTCAGATTTTTGTTTGCAGAAGACTCCTCTATTGCTGTGTGGAGAATGGATGGGACAAGCAGAAACAGACTAGGTAGAAGACTGTCATGGTCATCCTGGCAAGAGACTGAGGGGGTTGGAACTGGGAATTATGGCTGAGTAGAGATGTCCAACAGACCTTGGACATCAGGCCAGGCTGGGGGGGGGGGGGGCTAGGATATCATCAGTGCAAACTGCAGGTCCCCCATCTTGGGGGGAGATCCAAATAGCAGAATCTTTTACATTTTTCCTCAAGATTTTTATTTTGAAAAATTTCAAATACATAGAAATGTTGGTATAATGAATATTCTTCTCCCCTTCCTCTAGACTAACTAATGACTATTTTGCCACATTTGCTCTATCTTTCTCTCTTTATATATTTATAGACATTTTTCCTAATCCATTTGAAAGTAAGTTTCATACCTCATCCACATCTCCCCTAACACATCAGCATGTATCTCAAAAGACTATGGACATTCTCCCAAAGAGCCACAATACCACTTTCACACCTAAGAAAGTTGACATTAATTCAGTGAAATGATGCCATTTATTTTATTATTTTTCTTTCTTTATTGATTTTAGAGAGAGAGGAAGGGAGAGGGAGAGATAGAAACATTGATGAGCAAGAACATCGATCAGCCACCTCCTGCATGTCCTCACTGGGGATTGGCCTACAACCTGGGCATGTGCCCTGACCGAGAATCGAACCAGCGACCTCTTGGTGCATGGGTCGATGTTCAACCACTGAGCCACTCCAGCCGGGCTAAATGATGCCATTTACTACATAACACATACACATTTTGTCAGTGGTCCCCAAAATGCCTTTTATAGCTGTTTTTTGTTTTGTTTTGTTTTTTAACTTCCAATCATACATTACATTTGGTTGTTACGTCTTTAATCTCCTTTCATCTTGAATGGGTCCCTTGCCCTTTTTTCTCTCTTGACTTTGTCTTTTTGTGAATGTACCACCATCTACATTTGTGGCTCTATGGGTCTGCTGCCTCGTCCCTGGGTGCTAGAGATTCTGCTTAGAAGAAAGGATGGGGCTGAGGGCCAGGCCCCAGTACCTGCAGAATATGGGCATGGAGTAGTCAGAGCCTGGGAGGGATGAGACCAAAATGAGAAGTGTTGGGGGGAGGGTACTGGGGCCAGAAACTCAGCTTTGCCAGCATTTTAAACACAGCTTCCCAACAGCAATGCCACTCAAACATATTCTAATTTTACTTGTATATATTCATTTTGACATGAATGGAAAGAATATTGGTAAGTAGGCTGATCCCACTGATGGATGTAAATAGAAAGTGTGTCAGTTTAAAGACTATTAGAAATAGGGCAGTGGGGCTCTGTGTCAGCTTCCAGGGCACATCCCGTGACAGGTTCCATGGCAGGCTCTGGGATAGCACCACTGCCCCCGTGGAATGGCATCACCTCGTCTCCAGTGCAACAGGATTTGCAAGGGTGTGAGGCGAAAGCAGCCAGCTGGGATCCATCAGGACTTATTGAGGGGGCTGCTTCTGCCTGCTCTGTCCCCTTCCTGTCCTCTCCTGGTCTTGTCCCAGCTGTCCATGGGCCCTGGGCTGTGGCAGGTGGTGCAGGCTGCAGGTGCATGACCAGGGTGGGGCATGGGCCACCAACAGGCTTTGCAGGGCCCCCTCCCCTGCCCTCTTCACGGCTGCATCTGTCTCTTTCCTCCGCAGGGGGAGGGGTTGCACCAACTACGCGAGGCTTTGAAGATTTTAGCTGAGAGGGTTTTAATCTTGGAAACAATGATTGGGCTCTATGGTGAGTAGAGACAGACAGACGGACAGACAGCCCAGCCCCTGCCCACCAGCCTTCCCCAGGCCCTCCAGGGTGCAGCTGCCTGGGCCCAGTCATGAGGCTGGAGAGGCTAAGATCACCTACCCCTCAATGACTGGTCCCTCCTACACAGGTGAAGGGGGCCCTAGGCACCAGGGCCTCCAAGTATTGTGGGTAATGTGGTTTCCAGGACTGCAGGCAAAACCAGAGGTGACAGATTTCGAGTTTGGAAGAAATTATGCACAGTAAAGCCAAACTCCAGACCAGCCAGGGATTGTGGGTTACAGAGCCAGACTGCAACAGTGCAGGGGATTGTGGATAATAAAAGCAGAGCCCAGGCCCACAGGAGGATTATGGGTAATGGATCCAGACTTCAATCAGGCTTCAGCTCTAGGGGAATCACGAGTAACAGAGCCAGTTTCCAGGCCCACAGGGACGATAGGTTATGGAGCTGGACTTCAGAAATGCAGGGGACTGTGAGTGACAGAACCAGGCTCAGGCCCCAGGGGACTCTGGGTAATATCTACCCACCAATTCTGATCCTCCCTTACCCATAAGCCCCCAGAGGCTCTCACGGCAGACCTTCCTGGCCTCAGATAGCCCCATGACAGTTTCAGTTTCCCCTCTGGTCCTCCTAACCTGCCCTGAGGGTCCCTTTAGGGCCAGAGAGAGACCCTCACCCCCAGAATTTAGCCATCAGTTCTCTACTCATCATCCATCTGGTCACTTGAGGAGCCAGGCAAGCTCTGTCCCCACTTAGAGGCTCACACCCAGGCTTCTGCCTTGAAGCCAGTTGGTGCCTGGCCCATACACCCCACCCTTGGCTCCCCGGCCCAGCCCTCAGAGGCCGGACTCGCACCGTCTGCTCTTCTCGATCTCCCATCAGGCTCCTAGCTTACAGAGCTTCCTGCAGCAGCAGGCTCAGCTGGAGCTCCTGGCCAGACGGGTCACCCTGCTGGAAGCCATCATCTGGCCAGGTAACGGCAGGGTGGGCAGCCCCTTCCAGGAAGGGCCTGGGAAGGGCCTGGGGTCACAGAAGGCGACTCCCAATGCTGGACCCAGGCCAGCGGACATTCATTCTTTGATCCTTCCATCCACCTAGCAGACAGTGCCTGGCACAGAGAAGGCTCTGGTAACTAGTCTTTGAGTGAATGGGCACCTCCTCTGTGCCTGGCATCTTGCTGGCACAGGCTCCAACAGATAAGACAAACATAGTCCTGCTTTCATGGAGCTTTGACTGTGGGAGTGCAAGGGGAGCCCTGGAACGGGCCATTAAACCCAAGGTGAGGAATACACGATGGAGTGAGTGCAGGCACCTGTGAAAGCACAGAAGTGCCCCTGATCCAGTCTGGGTGGGGTGGCAGGGAGGGCATCTCGGAGGGCTTCCCAGAGGAGGTGTTGGTTAAATGGAGCCCTGAAGGGCAAGGATCAGGGGCAAGTGAACAGATAGCAGAACAGTGTGGGCAATAGCCAAGAAGCCAGAGGGAGCCTAGAGGGATTGTCCCATAAGATTTCTGAGGGGTGAATTCTTTGGCTACAGGATTTGGCAAGACCCAATTTGAGAAGGTCCTCAAAGGCAAGTCGGGGAAGCACAGGAGGAGTTTAGATACCTCTCCCTGTGCCTGGTTCATCAAGGTGGGGCTAAGGAGGTCTCTCCATGTTAAACTGGAGTCTGTCTGGCCCTGGAGAGAGGCAGGGATCAGCTGGCCTCAGGTCTGAGCCCCTTTCCTCACCTACCTGCTAAGAGGCCCCAACAATCATCCTTTTTCACCCATCTCACAACCTGGTCCTAGCACATCAGTACACACAGGTCTCGAGCATCATGCCCAACCTCCCATCTCTCTTACAAATGGGGGAACTGAGCCCCCCCAAAGCAAAAGAGGGCTAAGGCTAAAGCCAAGCCTTCATTCAGCAAAACTGTAGGGTACACCTACTGAATGCCAGGTCTGGGCAGGCACTTAGCAGACCCCCAGGGTTCCTGCCTTGGGTAGCTGCCCGTGAGTGGCAGGGGATCCATAGTATCTATAGGGGTGAGGGCCAGGGGGACAGGAGCACCAAAGGATGTGGGTGAGGAACAGTCACTTCTCACCAGGGGGTGGGTGGGTGGAGAAGGCTTCATGGAAGACGGGACACTTGTGTTAGGTCGCGGAAGATCCTTGCAAGTGCACCAGGAGAAGGTGGGAAGGGCAGCCCTCACAGAGTCCTGCATGGGCAAAGGACTGGAGGTTGGAAGATGTGTGTGTAGTCTGCTTCCAAAGCTTCTCTTGCCATACCACATGGCTTTCCTAACTTCTAGAAACATAACCGACCATCTCCCAGGCCTCCTTCCCTCTTAGAGGAGGGACCAAGGACCTAATCCCAGGCTTGCAACACCTTTTCAGGTATTCCCCACCTCCTCTCAGGAAGATCGAGGCAAGAACCAGAAGGGACACACTGGCCTGGGATCTGTGCCCCGCCCTCCCTCAGCCAGCTCTGTCTCCAGCAGGCCAGGGAGGAAGTGCTAGTCACTTAGGAAGGCCTGCGCCTACTCTCTGTGGTCACGAGTCTAGAAGAGAGATCCCATAAGCCAGCTCTGGTTGTGGGCCTGGAAGGGTGTAGTGGGAGGAGAGGAGCAGACGAGATGGAATCATCCCCACTGGCCCAGCAGGTGCTAACTAAAGACCCAGATGGGGGACTCATGTTTAGGATATAATCCATAATGACAATAGTAACAGCTGTCACACATCCAGCTCACCTGGGCTGGAGGATTTACAATCATCTCCAGTCCTTACAATAAGATTGCTAGGTGGGCAACAGATACCATGCTTGTTTCACAGATGAAGAGAGGTTCAGCGGGCTCATGGGACTCCCTCAGGGGTCCATCCTAGGTCTGTCGTCTAAAGCCCTGGCTCTTTTGGCTCCATTGGCAAAGGTTCACTGACACCTCTGCTCCACTAGGCATTGAGTGGGGCCCAGAGGAAACCAGGGCCCTGAATTTGATTATTTCAGAACAGCATCTCGTGACCAACTCAGTGAGCAGAACTGCAGGAGACCTGGGTCAAAAGTTCACCATCCTAGTAACCATAATAATCGAGCATGTACTGTGAAAAACACTTTCCACTCCCGGTTATGTTAAAACACAGCAAGGGTGTGACAACAGCAGTGTTACCCCCACATTCCAAATGAGGCTCAAAGGTCTGTGACTTACCCAAGGCCACATAACTGGGACATGGTGGGGCCAGGACTTGGCCTTAGCTTGTGGTGGAGCCTGATCTCTGCTTCCCTTCTGTGTTCCCTCCCCAGTGCCCCTTATTTGCCTCAGGGTCCCCAAATTTCGGTCCAAAAGTGTATGAGAAGCTGGGGGATCATGAGGGTCTAGCCCACTCTCTTGGCAGTGCCCTCAGTGAGAAGCTGGTGTTCACCACAGGCCAAGTGTCTCCTGTGAACAGGGTTGTAGAGGTTTAGCCAAGTCTTCCATCCTGGGGCATCCTTCTGACCCAGCTGATCTGCTCATTTAGCTTTGAGAGGGACTGAAGTGATAGTCACAGAAGGCTTCCTAGAGGAGGTAGGTCATGCTCTGCATTTTGAAGGATGAGTAGAAGGTTTTTAGGTAGCAAGAATGCCAATTACTCTTTTCATTCTTGGGATCCAGCACATTTCCAGGCCGGGGCATATCTCACCATATCAAATTGGAATTGACTTCAATATGGGAGTTGGTTAGGACCTCAGAGTACATCTGGAACTGTCCCCCTGGTTTTGGAGATGAGACAACGGAGACCCTGACAGGTCCTGTTTGCCCAGAGCCACAAAGTGGGTCAATGACAGAGCCTGGCCTTCCTAAACACTTCCCCACCATAAGTGGCTTAATCAAAGGAGAGGAAAATTGAGCCTGTTCCTTACCTTAGTTTATCCAGCTGTGAAATGGGGATGATTCAGGGCATACCTTCATCCCAAAATGTAGGAAAGAAAAAAAGATCTGTATTTTCTATGGAGCACTCCCTACAAACTAAGCATTTTAGGAACATAGTGGATTCATTTATCTCACCATCAAGGAGGCCCTGAGTGCTCTCATTGGGTGGGGCCTGGTAACTCCTCAGGAGGGGGGAACACTAACCAGTTTGTAGACACCCTTTTTTTCCTATAGCTCTGCTTCCTGGATGCCAGGGCAGAATACACCTGGCTGAGTGCCCAGTCCGTCCGCCCCCCCCCCCCCGGGCCAAGGGTAGGGGGGGTGCCTCACACAGACCTCACTAACCCAGCCTCTCTCCTTCCCTCCGGCAGAACCAGAGGGGTCAGGGGCAGGCCCTGCTGGCATGGGCACCCCCAACCTCCTTCGGGGCAAGAGGGGAGGACACACAACCAACTACCGGATCGTGGTCCCCAGGAGCCACAACGAGAGAGGCTGAGGGCTGTGGCGGCCCCTTGGGTGGGCCAGGCCAGGCTTCCCTTCCCAGCCTGGAGCTGGCCAGCTGCCTCCAGGGACCGCCCGTCCATATTTATTATTGTCCTCAGGGTCCCTCTGCCACCTAGGCCTTTGGAGTAAGCAGGTCTAGGTCCTGGCATCCCAAGCACGTCTGCCACATATGAGGCTGAGCAGGGACTGGGGCCTGAGAGAGAGGTGGCCCACGTGGGAGGTGGGGCCTTGCTCGGGGCCTTGGGCCTGTGTCCCTGTGTGAAATGGGGTGATGCAGGCCTGCAGGGAAGGGGGGACAGGTTCAGGGTTTCTGTCTTCCCATCAGCTGCCCAGGCATCCAGGCCTGTAGGCACTGAGGGAGCTGAGGTCTGCCCTGCCCTCAGCACCTGCAAGGATGATGAGGGAGGGCAGTCTCACCTCCCTTCCTCCCCATCAAACCTCAGAGGAGCCCCCCATGTCCCTCTCATTTCTGGTGCTGGGTCCCCAACCCCGAGGTCAAGCTGCCTGAGCTGACAGGGTGTTGAGGACTCCTTGACTCAGTTCTGTCCCTGGAGCCCCAAGCTACCCCCATGTCCCAGGTCAGGGGTGGGGGCATGGAAAGGGAGGAGCCACCTGCTCCCACAAAGCTTGTGACAGACACCAGGAGATAGGTGTCTACCAGCCAATAAAGACCCTTAGCCTGATTCCACCCCAGCCTGGTCTTAGTGTGTCTTCGATGGGCGGCAGCAGGGCAAGGCCAGGGGCCTCTTCTCAGTGGCCGTCACTGCTTGCCTGCAAAGCAGGTTTGAGGCTGGCCTGCGCGAGGCCGGGGGGCCAGGGGGCCAGTGCTCCCCTGGCCTCCACTTGGGCAGCCGGGTAGATAAGCACAACAGAGGCTCAGGCCACCCCCATGCCCTGGCCAGGTGTCCAGCAATGGCTGTGGCTTCTGAGAGGTCAGGGGAGCAAGAAGCTGCCAAACCTGAGGGCAGCTTCTAGAGTAGGTTCCAGCAGCTTCTCCTGAGCCTGTTTGCACAACTAAGGAAATGGTGACCAACAGCAGGGTTAGTCTCCAGGTAAGCAGAGTGTAGACTGCTCCAGGACAGGTAATCCCCTGCACCACCCTTCCCCTCAGTCCATCCGAAACTCACACCACGCCCAACCCTCTGCCCTTAGCTGTCTGTACCTCCCCTCCCTGGGAAGGGACAAGGACTGAGAGGGGCCAGGAGGGAGGAGCTCCTGCTTCCACGCTGAGGAAGCCTCTCCCCCACAGCACCCCACCCATCACTTCCTGCCCACAGGCCCAGCAGTGCACAACCACCAGCCTCCTAGCCTGCTCCAGGCCAGGCCTAGGAGACTGACTGAATTGGCCCCTAGTGAGTACCCTGAGGACTGGGCAGTGGAGGGATGGTATTCCTGGGAAGGAAGGCAGGCTTCCTGGAGGAGTCTCTGTGTAAGCTGAGACCAGATGGGTAAAAATTAGCTGGGAAACAGGTGATTAAGAATGCTCCTCAGCAGTCTGGCTGGTGTGGTTCAGTGGCTGAGCACTGACCCATGCACCAAGAGGTCACCAGTTCGATTCCTGGTCAGGACACATGCCCAGGTTGTAGGCCCGATCCCCATTGCAGGGCATGCAGGGGGTGGCCAATCAATGTTCTCTTTCATTGATGTTTCTCTCTCTCCCTAAAATCAATAAAGGAAACAAAATTTTAAAAAAAAGAAGAAGAATGCTCCTCAACAGGGGTCCAGCCCAGCAAAGACCCAAGGTAGAGGACATAACTTCCTGGAACAGTAACACTGCGTCTGGACATCAGGGAGCCGCTCTCCTACAAATTGGCTGTTCATTCACTGTTCATTCATTCATCCCCTGATGCCAACACAGAAGAATCAGATACAACTGCTGCCCCCAAGGAGGTCCAGGTTGAAAAGTGAACTGGTTTTTATTCTAAACAGTACCAGGGCAGGGTGCTGGAGGGGCTTCTCCTGCACCCACTGTGGCTTAGTACACAGGGCTGGGACTCAGACTGCCCACTCATAGGCCAGGACTCTTGTCACCTGAGGGCCTGCCTGTGCTAGGAGGGCCCAGGCCCTCAGGGTGGGCAGGCCCCCCCCTCCCCTGAGTCACTAGGACCTCAGTGCCCACTTCCCCGCCAACCAGAAGTGACACAGCACCCTCCACGTGCCCTGTGGCTGCTAGTGCCACCACTGCCTGCTCCATGGGGAAGCCCATGCGCTCCAGCTGCTGCAGCCTGCGAGATGGAGGGGACAGAGAGTGTCAGGTTCACCGCCAGCCCCACCAGGGGACCCCCACCCCTGCCCACCTTGCCCTACCGTAGAGAGGAGACAGAGGACTTGGGCAGCCATAGTGGGCTCTTGGGAACCTGGGCTGGCCCCTCAAGGACTGAAGCCTGGATCCCCTTCTGCAGCATCTGCTCATCTAAGGCTGCCCACAGTGGGGTCCCTGAGGGGAAGCTGGGCCCGGTGTAGGCCAGGTCAACCTCTGAGGAGCCCTCCCAGGTCGGCTGCACAGGCCCCGAGCCTAGTGGGAACAGAGTTGAGCCTTCACTGTGGGACCAGAGACTAGAGGAGGCCACGTAAGGAGGTCCAGGTGTGGAAAGCCTGCAGAGGCAGAAGCAGAAGAGGGCCTAACTGCCAGCCACTGCCACAGCTTCCACCAGGGTCGGTGTCCTTGGCATTACCCTCACCTCACTCCAGGAAGGGTGACAGGCAGCTCAGCCACACTGCCTGGGGTGGGAAGGAGCCTGAGTGGCCAGCATCCCGCCAGTACCCTGCACAAGCAGCCCTCCTGCAGCGCCTGCAGCTGCCGCTCGGAGAGCTCCAGCCATCGGAAGGCCCCGGCTGCGTCTGCCTGCCCGGGGCAGGGCGGCTGGTCAAGGAAAACCAAAACTAGCCAGGAGTGAGCCCACTGCCTGCCAGGCCCTGTGCCAAGTATATGATGGGCATTCCCTCATGTCTCCTCACTATAGCACTGCAAGGGATGTGTCATCAACCCAGTCAGCAATGGAAGTTCAGAGAGGAAAAGGAACAGCCTGAAGCTACTCAGTCAGTAAGAAATGGAGTTGGATTGTGCATCACCCAAAACACCTGTCTTATCCCATTTCAACCACTGCTGCCCCACTCCATGCCCAGAGCCTTACCTTCCTGCTCAGTATCAAGGCAGACTCTTGGCCCCATTAATACAACCCCCTATCACCCTCAGCCAGAGCAATATGCTCCTCTCTCCAGGATTCAGCAGCTAGTGTCCCTAATCCTAAACAACTGTAGGGGGTCTGCCTGTGTCCACTGTTCTGATGGCACTGTTTTCCCCAACAGGCATCAAGTATCTGTGAAACAAAAGCCTGTGTTTATTGCACATGCACCATGGGCCACAGGTGGTTCCCCCTTTCGGTGCCCAGAGTCCAGCTCACCCTCACCCCTGGCCTTTGCACTTGCTGTGCCCTCTGCCTGGCCACCCTCTCCTTTTTAACTTCTCTTTACCTGAACTCCTCATCCTGCATGTCTCAGCTTCGATGCCACCTCCACTGGGGAGGTCCAGGTAAAGTGCCTCCTTGGGCCACCTCAGTCCTCCTGAATTCCCCCTTTAAATTGTAATTGGCACCTCCACCTGGCCACGAGCCCTTAAGCCACAGCCCAGAGCCTGGCTAAAGGTGGACTCGGAAATACTCCTGGAAATGTGTGTGCACAGCTTTCTGGCATTGTTGAGCCTGACCCACTTGTGCCTGTTCCTTCCCACGTACCCTGGGGGCCCAACCACAACCCCACACATCCACATAGGCCCAGGGTCCAGGCAAAGGATACAGGCCAGGCCAGCAAGGAGGCCACAGAAGAGCTGTAGGAAAGGTGGCTCGGAGGTGAGCAGTGATGTCAGGGCAAGCAGCAACCATGGGAATAGCCACGGTGGCAGTGCCCCATGGAGCCCTCTAGGGCGGTAACCCTGCCCTGCCAGCATGGCCAGGTGGACAGGCATGTACCCGCAGCCACCGGCTGCAGCGGACATCCCGAGGCCTGCCAGCAGCACAGCCATTAGCCCGGCAACCAGGGCGAGCAGAGTGGAGGCATGCAGGAACCGCAGTGTGCCCAGGTGGCACTCCTGCTGCCAGCCGAGCACAGGCAGGAGCAGCAGACTCAGGAGTAGGCTGGGTAGAGCCGTGTGGCCCAGAGCATGGGTCAGCAGCCGATGTGCTGGGAGAGAACGGGTTTATGTGCCAGGTTAGTAGCCCCAACCCCTAAGGCTGCCCCAGGTGTGCCAGGTTGGGAATTACCCTCTCAGGGCCACCCCCTAAGCCTGCCTCCCCTCCCCAGGAGCCAAAGTCTGCCTACTGCCAGCAATCACTCAAAGAGGGAACCAAGGGCTTCCAAACACCATGGCTGCTCCCCTGCTGTATTAAACAGAACAAGCCAGACCTACCACTTAGGCTTCTCAAGAGCAACCAACTATGGATGAGTCATATAACCTCTGTGAGCATCATTTGGGGTCCTCAAATATAAATGGAAGCTGCTATTATTGGGAAACAGGCATTCAGCTGGGGTCACTCCTCAAGCTCCCAACACCTCTCCCCCATTTCCGTGCTTAGGTGAAAGCCTCAGTTCACACTTCAAAGGCAAGCCATCAGAACGGGAAGCCTTTTGAAAAGAATTCCTACTCATAGGCTCCCATCCCTCTGCTGGTTCCTCTGCCCTCCTTGGCTATGGATGAGCTGGGCATGCTCCCATCCAAGGTTGACCATCCCCAGGGCACTAGGTCCTATCCCTGCCTGACCACTGCAAGAGGCATGCCACTCCTGCCAACTGGTCTCAGGCCCCATAGCAAGTCTCCTGCCTCCTCCGAGGCCCATGCAGCCAGCCCTCACCCTGCCAGGGATCCAGCAGCAGTTCCGGGGCCAGGGCAAGGTTGGGACCTGCCCCCACCAGCCACAGACTGCTCATTAGCAGCATCAGGACTGAGGAGGCAAGAGGCAGTGCTGGGGACAGTAGGCCAGGGGGGCCTCTGTCATACATAGCTTGGCTGAAGGTGGTCAAGGGCAGTCTTGGGGCTGTGTGCTATGGGTAAAGGAAAACAATAACAGTTATTATTGCAGCTTTTATCTGACTTCATTTCAATTATCCTACCAACATCTACATTTTACAGAAGTAGGAACTGAGGCTGGAGAGACAGGCCCAGCAACTTGGCCATAGAGGAGTGGATCCTAAACACTGAGTTTAGCCTTCTTGTCAGTCCACTGGCCTGTATGTGAGGACGGGGAGGAGCCAGGTCAAAACGGCCCTGAGCACTGATGGGCCCTGAAGAAGAGACTGGGATGGGAGGCACAGGGCCAGGAAAATTGAACTGGGGCCCTGGACTCAAGAGATACAGTCTCCCAGGGCAAATTCAGGGCCATCTCCAGCTTTCCTCTGCTTCCCTCCAGCTACTACCTTCCTCCCTCTTCCCCTCCATTGTGCCCAGCCTTAGACCTCCAGATGGCCTCAGCTGTCCTAGAACAAAGGGTAGAGACCAGCCAATGGGCAGGCAGATTAGGGAGGGGGTGGGGCAGAAGATTTGAGGAAGGGCAGCAGGACCCCACACCCTGAGTGCATACAAAGTGACCCTGGACTGAGACATTCCCTTCCACAAAACCCTAAACACAGCCCCTCTGGCCCTCGTCCCCCTTTTCACAGGAACGTTCCAGTATCCACACTTCTTCCTGTAGTGTATCCCTGGGCAAGTTTTGCAATCTGAGCCTCTCTTTCCTCTTCTGTAAAATGGGGATTAAGAAAATCCTTTCGCCCAGCCAGTGTGGCTCAGTGGTTGAACATCCACCTGTGTACCCAAAAGGTCACCTGTTTGATTCCCCATCAGGGCACATGCCCAGGTTGCAGGATGACCCCCAACAGGGGCATGCAGGAGGCGGCCAATCAATGTTCTCTCTCATGATGTTTCTCTTTCTCTCTCCCCCTCTCCCTTCCTCTCTAAAATCAATAAAGAAAAAAATTATTAAAAAAAAAAAATTATTTCCTCATAGGATGAGAAAAAATAATTACTAAGGCAGCCTATAACTCTTGGCCATCCTGGCTAATTGTGGGAGGCAGATGTAGCCACTAACTGCCCCAACAAGGGGAGGCCTCAACGTGGAGGCAGCTGCTCCAACCCTGCTAGTCTGCCTTCAAACATGCCCATTCCCTGGCCTCCTGACAAGGCTTTTTCTCCTGTCCTCCAGGCCCTGCTGGAACCCCTCACCCCTGGCCAGGTCTGTGTGTCTCAGGAGTCCCACTAAACTGATTTCATAGGGCAGAAAGCAAAATCCCAAAGAGAGAAGGCCGCCTCATCTGCTCCTTTGTCAAGGGCATCCTCAGCATCAAAACCCACCGGACAGTTTCCTGCAGGAAAAATGTAGAAAGCTCCTCTGCTTCCATATTCAGCAGACAAACTCCTCTGCACCCCTTGAAGCCCAGCTCAAATGTCCCCATTCCCTTTTCTGGCCCCCACATCATGGATCTTATCCTATCGAATGGGCACAGCTTGGCCTGTCTTTCTCTTTGGCAGATCAGGTGGTGTCATTCTGATTACTCATCCCCAAGTTCCTGCTCACACATAGCTGGTGTTTTACATGTGTTCACTGAAAGAAAGGCACTGTCTTGGCACCACATCCCGCTGAGAGGGTTGTGTGAGACTGGGTTTAAGTTTGAGTCCATGAAGGCAGAGGTGCCACCCTTGCCCAGAGCCAAGGCATCCACTGCAAGCCTCCTCCTGCACCTTCACACCTCCCCGCCCCCCGCGCGCCCTGGGTACCTTAGTCAGGGTGAAGGGCTTCCCCACGGACAAACAGAACTGGGGCTTGAACCCTCGGGGCAGTCTCTTCATCTATAAAATGGGGCTATGCACCATCAGGCCCTGCCTACCTTACTGGGAAGCCTGAGAACAGAATGGGAAGGAAGATTCTTCCGGGTGATGGAGAGTAGGGGTCCCAAGGTGTGGGTCGGACTCAGCTTTGTGACTTTGAGAAAAATACCCAAATTGCTTCGGCCTCAGTTTCCCCTTCTGTAAAAACAAGGTTAGATGAGGAATGATTAAAGGGCATTCTCCTCGACCGTTACTGGGTGGGGCTCTCGGGTTCAGGCGCTACGTTCGGGGCCTCCCATCCAGCCCACCCGCCTTGGCCCCCGCCCCCGCCGGCCCGGGCCACGTGTCCGGGGTACTCACTGCGGAGCGCGCCCCCCGCCCCGCGAAGGCCGGGCGGGGCCCCCGGCTGGGAGTAGGGACTCAGCTTCCCGCCGAGGCCGGAGCGCCCTAACCCCATTCTGCCGGTACTCAGGCGCGTGACCCCCGCCGACCGGCCGGCGCGCCAACCCCTCCCCCGCCGTCCGTGAATTAGTCAGCAGTTGTTCTAGGCCCAGGTCCCTTCCCCCAGCCCTCCCTCCGGCCTCCGTTTCCCTTCAAGGCAGACTCTTCAGAGACGGTCCCTAGAGCCAGCGGACGTGACCACTTAGGCCAATTTAGCCTCGTGCGGCGAATCACTCCGCCTTAATACCAAGACCCGCTCATCCGCCGTTCTCGTTCCTTCGGTGCTATTTTGGCCAGCGCGTCACGGCCGGCGCTTTTTGGAGAGGATTGGGGCAAGAGTTGCGGGCGGGAAAACGAGGAAGCTATGGTTCATCCCTTCTTCCTCCACCCCCGTGGCTTGTCCCGATGGTAGCACCCGAGGTTGCGGCTTTTGCGCCTGCGCAGTGCGGCGTCTAGGGGGAAAGGGAGAGGGAGACGGACGTTGAGAGAACGAGAAGGAAGGAGAGAAAATGGCGTCCACGGGTGAGTGTGGGGAAAATGCGGCCGCGCCAGCGACGGCCAGGACGCCCAAATCGGGGGCTGCTCGTCTTTGGGGGTGGTCGGGACGACTGAATAGAGTTTCTTAGAAGGGTTTGAAGTACCCGCCGCGGCCCGACGAGCTCGAGGGTCCGCGTTTCCCTCCCCTCCCCCATCTGGCAGGCCGCTTCTGGAACCTTCCAGTGCCTCTGCCGCGCGGGGGGCTCGCGGCGGCGGGGTGCGCGGGGTCTCCGGTGGCCTCCATTGTGTGGCGGCCGTCGGGATCCGCGCTCGGGGCCGCCCGCCACGTGGGCGGGGCCTGCGGCCTCCGGGGCCCCGCGTGGGGGGGTCGGCCAGGCCTAGAGCCTGGCACCCCGAAACTGGAGGGTGGGAGAGCCGACGTCGGCTCGAAAAGCCGCGACCATGCTGCCTCTGACTCTTCTCCACGTTTCCAGGGAGGCGGCCTAAACCCTCGGGCAATTCTGCCTCACCTAGAAGCCCGGGGGGAAAGCAAATAAACAAAAAAGGCCAGCGGATTTGTGAGCCGAGGGGCGCCGACCTATGAGCGAGAGCCCCGTCATCCCTAAGGCCCGGGCGGCTGGGGCGGCCGGTGCCGCCTAGCTGCTGTCCCCTTGGCGAGTTCCAGCCCCAAGCCCAACTTCTGCCCGACCGGGCTTTATACGGGCTGAGCCCCCCTCTTGAGAGCCCCCCCCAATCGGCTGTTCCCTCTGGCTTCTTCGTTTTTACCATTAACCCCACCTCCATTCTGCCCCAAAAAGCAATCAAGTAGTTTCCCAGGGCAATTTTTCAGCAAACGCCGAGGGAAATCCCGTTGTATAAGACCAGCCCGGGTCGCGGGGCTCTACCGAAAGAAATGTCTGGTCTCTTTGACCTAAGAGAAACAAAAGACCAGAGTTGGCGTTTGAATTATGCTTAAGTAGTCATCTCACACGTGTATTTGCCTAAATTAAGCGGACAGGCTTGTTAATTTTTGTGGAGTGATACAGGAGAGGGAAGGAGACTGGACTGGGAAAGAAAGCTCCGGGGTAGGAGCTCGAATGTGTTGTCTGGGGTGGTCCCTAATGCAAAGAGTGTAGCCTAAACATGACCTGCGGTTTGCCTCCAGTTCCTGCACTAACCTGAGGTTATTGGTAGGCGGTGTTCTTAAGCGGCCTAATTCCAGGCCTTAAAAGCCGTGGGTCAAGACAAGAGAAAGACGGAAAACGCTTTGGGTTCTTCCGAGTTATAATTTAAAAGAGTCCAAAACCCAGCAATTTAAAGACGGTTTGATAACTCTTCCCAATTGTGTGGTCAGTGATCAAGCAGGTAAATTGCTGGCTATTGGGGCCACGGTACTGGGTACCCCTGGAAAAGATTGTGTGCCTAGATATGCCAGTTTTTTGGTCTACTTTGTTCCGTCTCTTTATTGCTACCCACCATGTAGTATATTAGAATTCCAATTGCTGTTTATGTAGACACAGTAGTGGACCTGGCAGGGGACCTTTGAGGGGTCACATAACTACCTGAATTTTGGCTTCCTTTTCTTCCAATTAAAGGAGGTAAGCTAGACCTTGTAAGAGCCCTTCTGACTTCTAAGCAAAGTATTTTGACTCCCACAAAATTGTCCCATACTTATTTTCGCTCATTATGTAGTCTGAATCTCTAAATCTCTACAGTTTGGGTAGTGACCACAATAAAGTATCTAAAAGTCATTGCCTTGGATAATGTTAGATGTTTTTTCTCCTCACGTATGTTATATATTAGAAAAGTATAGTATGTGTCCATTTTAACAAAGAATTACAGTGCAAACTCCCAATTAACTACCGGTCAGACCAAGAAATACAGCATTGCACACTAAAGGCCCAACTGGATCACAGACAGCCCCTTCTCAACCCATCCATTTTTAGTGAAGTCTTCAACTGCATATTTGGGAGTTAAAAAACAAAACATACTGATTGGTAAATAATCTGACCAGTGTGTGACTGGCATTATTGAGACCGTAAAATGTTTGTGTGATGTAGGTAAATAACTTCTTGTGAACAAATTTGCTACCTCCCTTAGACTACCAATATGGGGCTAAAGCATCTGGTTTCACACTGATCTGAGAACATCGGTTGTTACATATCAGCTTTGCCAATTTTATGTTTTACATAACCGTTCTTGTATAAAAGTCCTCTTGCAAGCATTGAAGTTAGATGTCAGCCATTTAGTATCATTTCTCACTCAGAAACCTCAGCAAAATGTAGGTTGAAATATTCAATTTTTTGATGTGTCTTGGTGTATTTATTTTGTGAATACCACATGGAAGAAGTGATTTGCATTTACTTTTTATTTGCCATATCAAGAGTGCAGCTTGAGCGCTACAGGAAATGTCTTAAGGTTTAAACCTTCAACTGCCTTAAGGTCCTTCTGAGCAAATCAATTCATAGCCTTTGGGCAGTTGATTTGATGTTGATGATTCAGGGTTCTGGGTTGAGGGTAGACAGAGGAAAGAAAGTCAAATTATAGAGGTAGAAAGATGAGCCAACTTAAAAGAGATGGATTCATCAGAATGCTCTTGGGCCAGATGGACTGTGAGGCAGACTTTGGATGGAGTAGAGGTAAAAACAACTCCATGAAGAACTGCCATGTCAAAATGTTTTTCATATGGGGGACTATTTTCTAAATAGAATAAAAAAGACCCTTTTGTTTGGCCCTAATGGCAGTACTGTCTTCGAACAAGATATGTATTTCTTGTGGAGAGCAAAGAGTTGGGAAGAATTTTTTTAAATAATTATTTTAGGCCCTGGCTGGTTTGGTTCAGCGGTTAGAACATCGGCCCGCGGACCAGAGAGGCCTGGGTTCAATTCCTGCTGAGGGCACGTACCTTGGTTGCAGTTTGTCCCCAGCCCCAGTTGGGGTCGTGTGTGTGGCAACCAGTCTATGTGTCTCTCTCACATCGATGTTTCTCTCTCTCTTTCCCTCTCTGCCTCTCACTCTATCTGAAGATAATTGCAAAAATGTACTTGGGTGAGGATAAAAAAAATAATAATAATTAACTTTAAAATACATACATATGTTACCCTGGCTGATTTGGCTCAGCGGTTGGAGCATCAGCCCGCGGATCAAAGAGTCGCGGGTTTGATTCTAGTCAAGGGTACATACATGCCTTGATTGCCGTTCGTCCCTAGCCCTGGTCTGGTTGTTCGGAAGGCAACCCATTGATGTGTCTCTCACATTAATGCCCCCCCCCCCCATCTGGTGATAAATATAAAAATATCCTCAGATGAGGATTTTAAAAAAATTTAAAATGCATATGTTTAGTTCAGTAGTGCTGTGAAAACTTCTGAATCATTTTATTTTCTCTTTGTTTTCACTACTTGTAGACACATTACTGGGCCAGAATTTTTAGTCCCTTTTGTAAATTTCATATGAAAAGGAATATTAAAGGAAGTTTTACTTAGAAAAAAAAGAGAGGGGCGGGAAAAAAATGTGGCTTTTCTTCTTTTTTTAATCCTCAAATGAGGACAATTTTCTGTTTATATTCACCTAGAGAAGGAAGGAAGGAAGGAGGGAGGGAGGGAGGGAGGGAGGGAGGGAGGGAGGGACAAACATCTACTGGTTACCTCCAGCAGTCGGGACAAACCACAGCTGAGGTTCATGCCCTTGACCGGAATCAAACCCATGACTCTGGTCCTTGGACTGACTCTCTAACCACTGAGCCAAACGGACCAGGGCAAAATGTGGCTTTTTTTTTTTAAGATGAAATCATTTTGAGTTTTAAAAAAGATGATTTTACCTAAAACTAAATTGTTCCCCAAACAATTAAATGCTTTCTCTGCTAATTATCAGGATTCTACCTTAACTCCACTTTGCTGGGATTTATAATATTCTAGCTTTTGAGTTACTGTACACATGTAGCCCTGACACAGTCAACAAACCCTTTAAAACACTGGATTGAGATAACTGTCCTGTTTTCTGTCGTTCCATTTCACAGTCCTGCTAGGGAATTAGGTTAGTCTAATTTGCTAACGTGAGAGAGAGAGAGAAAAACTAGTTTTTGAGGAGATGTAACCACTAATGTAATCAATCTAGTGCTGAACATTGTGATGTCACTTGCCTCCTTTTTATATGAAGATAAAACTTCTGGCCCTATTGGTTTGTCCTGTTCTCTATTAGTCTTAGGATAATGATCATGTATTTGAAATGACAGCCTGTTAAGGGGGGGGTTTGTGGTGATGGGAACATGCACAGTATCTCTGCCAAATCAGCTGATCTTGACCTCATTTGCTGGCACTGTATTCAAACTTTCTGAGTTTGACTGGCTTGGACTTATTTTTCATGTTGGTGTTAAGAAATAAGAGGTACTCATTTGGACCTCTCTAAACAATTTGAAGAATTCATCTTTCTGCCACCTGAATTCCTTCCCCCCTTTTTTCCCTTATCTTTGCTGACTTCATACTATTTTCTCTCCTTGTTTCTTCTAGATTACAGTACCTACAGCCAAGCTGCAGCCCAGCAGGGGTAAG